TTAACCAAACAGCCTATGGGGGCCTTAAACATTTCTTTTTCCCTTAAAAAAATTATTTTGGGTTATTTTTTTTAAAAACCACCCCAAAAAAGAATGAATTTCGGGGGGGTTTTAACGGGTAAAAATTTTTAAAAAAGTTTTGGGTTTCAATTTAAAAAAATAATTATTTTAAAAAAATAAAAAAATAATTGCTTGCCGTATTTCCTTTTTTTAAAATAATTTTGGAAAAATTTTATTTGTTTTTTAAAAAGGTTTTTCAAATTCTTTTTTTTAAAAATTTAAAAATTAAAAAATTCTTTGGTTTAAAATTTTCTTCAAAAATTTTAAAATTTTTTTTAAATCAAAATTAAAAAATTTTGTTTTTTTTAAAAATTACCCTGATTTACATTTAACTTCCCTTGAGGTTAAAATAAAAAAAATTTATATAAATTGGCCCAATTTAAAATTGGCCTTTTGCAAGGAAAAATGCGGACTTAAACCGTCAAAATTTTTAAGGGGTCTGTGCCAAAACCCCTCTTTACTTTTTCTTTTTTTTTAAATAATGAAATTTTTTCTGTGAAAAAGAAAACTTTTAAACCTGGAGACATTTTTCAGCCCAGTTTGTCTTAATCGCAAAACCCACTTCTTTTAAAATTTACTGAGATTTTTTCTTTAAATTTTGGGGCTAAAGAAAATGATAACATCATCTACATAACAGAGAACAAATTTCCATGAGATACCACTAAGAACTTTCATTAAAAGCGACTGAAAAGTAGCTGGAGCCCCTGACAATCCAAATGGCATTTTTCTAAAAGAAAATATTCCTTCGGCACAAATGAATGAAGCTTTCTCCCTACTGTCTTGCTCTAAAGGTACTTGCCAAAATGCTTTACCAAGGTCAAGAGATGAAAAAAACTGTGAATTTGATTCCCCAATTGCATCAAAGATATCTGACAGGCGTGGTAAGGGATATGCCTGAGGTTTGCTTATCTTATTTAATTTCCTATAGTCAACTGCAAAACCTATACTCATCAGAACCTGCTTTTTTAACAAGTACAAACTGGTGAATGTCAATTTGAAGAACTTGCATCAATAATTTTGTTTTCTAACATTTTTTGTACCCAAACCCTTGTTGCTTCTCTTACCACAGGATTTTGTTTATAAGCTGGTAGTTTTACCGGCATTGCATCTCCTGTTTCAATCTTGTGAGTTTGTAAATGTGTGCAACCTAAATCATGTAGTCCTTCTGAGAAAATGTCTCTATTTTTGTTTAAAAGATCTAATAACTGTTTTTTCTGGTAATCATTTAAATCAGAATCTTTAAGATTGAAATCTAATGTACTACTAGGTTTTGAATTTGTTTTTATGTCTGAAATGCCTAAACTTTGTTCATTTTCAAATGAATGTTTGTCAACATCACCAATTGAAAATACTGATTTTTTTTCTACTTCTGAAACTGTTGCCAAAATTTTATTTGATTTCAAATAGACAATTTTATTAGTAGGATTAACTACTCTTAAAGCAGCTTTTCCATTTTCTACATGAACTAGGCATTTAGCACCTAAAATATGTTTATGAGTTAATGACACTAAAGGTTCTAACAAAACATTTGAACCAGTTTTCACTCTTGATATTTTCACAGGAATATCAACTTCGGCCTGAGGGAGTATCTTAGTAGATCTTACAGTTCTAGCATAACCTGTATTTGTGCTAAGAGAACACACTTTCAAAAAGTCATGAATAATAAATTTTTTCGAGGCAATGTCCAAAGAAACCTTGTGTTTTTCCATAAAATCTATGCCCAAAATCACAGAATGATGTAAATCTTTGATAACATAAAATTTTGAAGCCAAGGTAACAGTCCCAAAACTTATATCTAAATTTACTTCCCCACTAACAGCATGATGTGTTCCACCAACCCCTACTATTGTTTTAATTTTTGACTCGCTTATCTTGGGCTTCTTATCAAAGAAAGCTTTGTTAAAAAAGGACTCACTTAAACATGAAATTGATGCCCCTGTATCACATAAAGCACTAGTTTTTGTGTTATTGATACTAACAGAGACTGTGTTTCTAGTCATTATAGTTGAAAATTTTGGATCAATATATGACACATTAGCACTATCAGACTTTCTTTCATAAAATCTTGTTTGTTTTCCCTTAGTTTTAGCACTGTTTAAGTTGTTATCAATTTGTTTGTAAACTATACTGTTATGCCTATCTACTGGCTGTGACCTGCAGACAGGCACGCACCCCTATTGTGTATTATTTGACTGGTTCCAAGACTTTTTGTTAAAAGAACTATTATTGTTATGCCCGAATTTTGAACTTTTACATTTATTGCCGAAATGGTTCAGTTTATTACATTATTTATAGCATGTTTTTGCCCATTGCTCTACAAGAATTAGCAGAATAGCACCTACCTCCACAACGATGACATGACGGAACAGCCTGTTGTTGTTTATTCTTATAGTGTCTGTCTCCATTGTTTCCTTCACGGTTCTTTTCTGTTGTCAACCTTGTTACAGCTGCTACCAACTGCTCAACTGTCTGTTCGAGTTTAGAAGTTTCTGTCACATTAATCTGGGCACGATCACCTATGTTTCCATGGATATCCCCCATCCTGGCAGCCAAATTTCGAACTTCTTGTAATGTTTTCGGAGCGTGCGCCCCCATTGCCTGGCCAACCATCCCTTCCATACCTTTAAGTGCGATTTGAACTTGTACATTTTCAGGAATGTTGTTGATGTATGTAGCTTGTTCAAGCCTATTTAAAAACTGGTTCAAAGTCTCACCAGGTGACTGTTTCATAGTGTAAATATCTAGACTTGCTTCTTTTTCAATTTTGAAATTTTGCGACCAACATATCTTTCAGTTCATTTATTCTTTCTGGTCTTATGTTTTGCGATTCATACCATAATCTTGCCAAGCCTTTCAAATGCCAGGCAAGTGATGCGACAGCCTGTTCATCTTTAAGAGCCGTTGCTCTAACGTATTCATCGAATCGTCTCAGATAACGGACAATATCCTGTGTCCCATCCCCGTAAAAATCCTCCATCCTAAATGCACCTGCCATTGGAAAAAAACCAGGTTCACGTGTTGTTGATGTTGGCAAACCAAGGTCTTGTGGCTGTTCTGGCTCAGTAGGCGGAGTTTGTACACTTCTCAAACTATAATTTGACGGTCTAGACGAAAGTGGCATTTGTTACTCGCTTGCTGATTTTACTGGTTACTCGCTTGCTAATTTGAGAGGTCGGAATCATCCACTACCCCACCAAGTGTTCTGCTTTGGTACTAGGGGAATTCTTGTACAACTAAAATACAAAAAGATGTCCTTTTTCCTCAATTTATTTTCAAACTATTTTTTAACTATTTCAATCCAGAGTCATGCAATCTATGGCTCTTCAGAGGAAAGGACTTTAGAACAACAACTTCCATAACAATAATAGACCAATCAATTTTACTGTACATCATGTGACCCTTAATTCCCTTAGGTAATTTAACCAATCAATTTTAATTTCGTGTAACGAAATTTGGAATCATCCAATGAAACAATGTTTACATGTTAATAAAGTATTAACTGAAACCCTGTAAGTTTTCATGGACAAATCAGCTTATGGGGTTACTGATAGTGTTAAAATTTCTTTTGTAACATTTACTATCGGAAAAGGTCTGAAATAGGATTAATTATCTTGTTAAAGCGATTACCGTAGATTGGTTAACTTAGATCTTCCTATCTGTATTTGTTCTTATGCCTTCTGTTATAACATATTACCGACATTAAAGCGTACCTTAAGAAATAAAAGCAAAATAAAAATTAAATAAAAATGAATAATAAAAAATAAAATCAAAACTTTTAATGCATAATATAATAATCAAATATGCATTAAACATATTCGTCAAATGATTGGTGTTCATTTCGTACAGGATCGACTGTTTGAATTACCCTGGTTTAATTTTTTTTTTAAACTAATATTAAGCAAATCTTTATTTTTCATTTTTTTTTTTTTTTTTTTGGTAATCTGTTACATTTTACAAGAAAATCATTTGCAATGTACCTTAGCCACCTTTGCTTCTTTTGCGTGTATTGGCAATAAGTGCAGTTACTGGGATTTAGTGTTTTGTATTAAAATTAAAATACCACTTTATTCATATTTTACTACCTTTATCACAAATTATTTAACGTTCAAAATTACGTTTTTTTCCCAACTGATATGCATCTCAGATATAACAACATTATGAATATATGTTTCTACAGAAGGGAAAATATACATGCCTACATTTCTAACGCTTAATGTGCTACATGTAATAGTTTTGTGATTTTTATACTGCAAGTGCCTTTTAAGCAGCATGTATTTTTATGAAGTATGTATTAAATGAGCAACATTGTCATATAATGTTGCAATCGCAACATTTCAACAGTTTCCGTCAAACTTCGGATAAGGATGATTAATGGAAGTCGGCAAATTGTTCCGAATATATGGCGTTACGTATTATCACTGTTTGTCGTTGTTTGTTAATATTAAACTGCACAAAAAAGTTTAAAAAAGCATTTAGATAACAACTCTATAAAACCGTCATTAATGAATAGGCAGTGATGGGCAAAATGTACTTAGTCCTAAACAGAGTTCACTTAAATATCTAATGACTTGCAAATTCACTATGGTGAATTCTTAAAACAGTTTTGTAACTAAGGTTTCTCTTTTGTGAAGGGAATATTCATAAATCATTTCCCCCCAAAAAAGAAGCTTCCAAGACAAAAAGACGCTTTTAAATTGTTTTGTTTGATCAATCTGCAGACGATGCATATAAACCTTGCAAGAAAGTTTATTTTTATAAATAGGTTTACATCAAACGGAAGCAAAAAGCATTCACGACCAAAAACCTAAAATAATAAAAAAAAAACAAAAAAAACACTGTGTCTTTAAGCGTATTTGCGTACGTGAGCGGTAGTGTAAACATATGGCCAAACATTTTGAAATTATAAGTCAGTAATTAAAACAGTCATACAGGTGGTTACTGTCATTATTTACAAACGAGACTAATTGAAAGACATCAATTAGTTGCATGAAGAATAACTCATGTGCAAACGACTTTGATCACTTTACGATTATCAATCAATAAAAGGGAGAAATTTTGTTAAATATGTAGCAATCACTTTGCTTAAGCCACAAATTTACAACGATTTCTAAGACGAAACTAAGGTGAGTTTTATTGTATACATATTTTACACGTTTTCTTTATTCTGTAAGGGTATTTGAGAATTTTCTTACATCAAAGCTTCGGTTTGTATGTGATGTCACGGCTTGAATCAAATCCTTATTTCTTTTAACATTTAGCTTTAGTTCTTTATATTTTAAGAAGAATGGAATTGCTTTCAAATCATGTGAAACGCCTATAGAGGACCTGGGACGGAAGATAACTTCTGTCCCAGAAAGGACATAAACCGCTTAATGTTTGAATTCATTTTTTATAATCTAGCTTAAATATAGTTTTTAATTGTATATATTATGCAATGTATATTTTATATGTTTATATGTCTTATATACAGCAAAATTACACAAACCGCAACCGATTTTTCGTGTGATTTTTTCGTGTGAAATTTCCCGCATATGACCTTTTTCTATCATATATATTTCACTTATATATATTTTATATATACATATGTATACATGTATTATACAGCATTAACGAAGTAAGTCTGTTAAGTATGTACGTGCAATTGCAATAAAAATATTCTAAGCATTTTATTGCGAGACAAATAATATAAAATCTTCATAATCAATCGATGACATGTGTACAAGGGCAATGTCATCTACACTTCCCAGATTGGGTTAAAAGAATAAAATAAAGCAAAGAATGAACAAGAAAATTTCTATCGTAAATTGACTTTGTAGTTCTATCTGTTATGATTTGTGCAAGACTAACTACTTGTACTACGCGATGAAATTTATTGTAATATTCTGTGTATTGGCAATATCTCCCCTTTGGGTAGAAGCGACATTCTGACCCTGCAGAACAAAATATTTGGCACTTTAATAGATTTGACTATGATTTTTGCTATCAACAATCTTAAATGAGATTGTAATTTTAGGTAAGTATTTTAGATAGTTCATATATAAATGAATTTAAAATACATACATATAATTTATAAATCTAAATGAAACGGAACGGAACAAACCATTTAATCTTTAATTTATATTAATTTATCTCTTTCAGAACAACATGGGTGTCAAGACAGCATTTGTTCTTGTTGCCACAATCTTATTGGTTATTACCATACAATGCGATGCTCAATACCGTGGTAGGCGTGGACGTCATCATCATCATCACCACGGTGGTGGGCGTGGATATTACTCTGGTGGGTTTGGAGGGCCTTTCATTGGTGGATTTGGAAGAGGTCTTGGAGGCGGTATTGGCATAGGATTACTCGCAGGAGCTTTTGGTGGAGGCGGTTTCGGTTCCCCATTCGGATATGGATATCCAATCGGAGGATTTGGTTTCGGTGGTTTGGGAGGTTTCGGATATCCTGGATTCGGATTATACTGTAAGTATTAGTAATGATTTTTTCTTTAAAATGGAGAAGAAACATTTTTTCACATTTTTCTAATTTAAAAATTATATGCATTTCGCTCTCAAACACTGTTTCGACTTAACCGATTGTGCAATACTGCATTGGTCCTAGTACTCAGAACCATTGTATTTGCTTAATTAATACTGTCATGTTTTTTCTATTTCTCATATTTGTTTGCTCAATTTTTCAATATCTCAAATTTATTTCAGAATGACGTATGCTAGAAGCTAGAATGTCGATAAAAGAAACCCACAAATTATTACAAAATGAACTATCTTCATCTTTCTTTTTATTCGTTTTTTAAATCTTACTTTTCTAACTTATTTTTTCTATCTTGAATTAAATGTTTAATGAATATAGTTTGTATAACTCAATACTCTGTAATGCTAGAAACCAATCTAATACATACTGTGATTCATGAAATAAAGTTTTCAATTTATAACATATAAACACGTGTACTTTTTATTATTTCAAATTAATATCACTATACCACGCCAATTTATTCAACCATATCTCTCATTTCCTTTGTCTCGGGCATATGTTAGATATGTATTTCAAAATATGTTTCTTCATATAAAGTCTCTATTGTATCATCTAAGTATTGCGCCAACGTATCGGCAATGTATTTGATAAATATGATTGTATCATAGTTTGGGGACCTTTCTGTTGAAAAAGTTTCAGAGTTAAATCGTATATATATACATGCACAGTGCGTTAACTAGAGTGCAGGTATCAGTTACCCGCACTACAGATTATGCCCGTTGATTGGCTCATTTTTGCTGGGGTTTACATGTTGTGACGGCAGAGAAAGAGAAAGCGGCAGAAATATCATATTCAGATGCTCGTTCATTGGTTGCTTTTTTTCTGGGGTTTCATATTTTGACAACAGGGAACGTGTTATGTTTGACTATGATACAAAAAAGAAAGAACACCAAAACACACTGCAATCTGATATATACTCGGGGGCTACGCCCCCTCGTACACATCAGATAGCCTCGTGTTTCGGTGCTCTTTCTATTACTTATACAATATACATGTAATTGAATTATTGTACTCATGCTTGAAGATACAAAAAAATTTCCAGTACTTGGGACCCTTGTTTCCGAGTTGTACAAACCACTGACCGGATTATCTGTCCGTCAATGTTTATTTTACACAAAGATAATATATTATAACATAAATAATATATAATATATAATAAATAAACACATGGACAAAGCAGGATAAAAGTCCTCATTGCATGTCGTAGGTTCGGAGTCCTCCACAGACAACAAACTCTCTTTTTCAAGTTCTACTCATGTCGACATATATGCCTGAATCTACTAAAGGAGGGAAGAGAGAGTTTGACAATGAACCTGCTTGAATCGAAAACAATTAGAGTCACAGACACTTGAGACTTGGGAATTTAGACGTTGAAATATGATTTGTTTTTGAAAAGGCTTGTATTAAGTTTTTTTTGATATATATGATCAGTACATGTGCTGAGATTGACAAATATACATTTTATTTGGATTTTAAAGGCGTTTTAAGCTCCACACCCCAAGTGTCTGTGATTAAAGTCAGTGTCACTGGTCAACAAATAGCCAGACCAGCCTGCATATCCAGGCTACATACAACTGTCTGAATACGTAGAATTTTCGTCTTAACATCCATTAATCTGATAATGGGCAGCACCGAAATGGAAGCTGGTCAAGTGCAAGCAGGTTGAAGATTAAGCTGGTAATTCACGTGGTTTTCCGACCCACACAGATCACAAAATGTCACTCAGGATAGGCACCGTAATCAATGTTTTATAAAATTTTATGTGATAATGTACCATGTACAAGTCAAAATAAAGTAATGATAATTAAATAAATTTTTAAAAATGTTCATACATTTTCATCCTTGCATCTTACAACACAGAAAACTAAACGGCCAAATGATGCATATCCAGGGCGCAACTGTGTCCGTTCCCTTACTACCAAGTGGCACCAACACTGTCCATATTCCTTCCACCTCATCTCGGTAACTCAGGCTATTTATTGTTTATTAAATACAGTTGTATACACGGAATGTGTACCTGTGGGTTTCGACGATGCATGAACCTTTGCTTATGGAGTGTAATCATAAATACCCTTTTTAAACATGAGCGGACAACAAATAGAACCACGAACCTTTCGTACCTTTTAAAACCACAGCACTGAGCGGCAAATAATCGTATGGTCACGAATAGAGTGTGAGTACGATGATGATAATTCTAACGATTTGATGTATTGGGTAAAGTAGTGGTAAAATGGATACAGCAATGGTAATATGGATGTAGTAATACGGGTACGGTTATTATAAAAACGGACACAGTAATGATATATTATTGTAAAATAACCAAATAGAGTGAAAAAAAAATACCCTTCGAATTCTGTATATATTTTGTAAAAATAACAGTTTAATATTTAATAGAAATACGGGTAAAGTAATTAGTAACACGGGTATTATGATATTGGTGCATTAATTGTAATGCGTGTAGAGTTATAGTTATATGGGTAATGCTACCAAAATTACTAAAGGGAGGTAAAAAATGCAAAAAATACCATTACTGCGTTAGTAACGCATAGAAATATGGTGATATATGCTACAAAATCGGTCATTATTTTTACTTTTCTTAAAATTAAAATCTCAAAACATTTTTCTCAAGTTTGATTTTCTGGAAATATTTTAGAACACGGCTTCAAATGCATTTGTCATTAAAGCTGTTTCTGGAGGCATACAGCTTTAAACATAAGAATCATATTCAAATTTATTCTATTGATTTACAAATATTATATTTTATAAAAACAACAGATTAACTCTTAAATTTTATGTTATAAATTTAGGGTTTAATTGGAAAACCTAATAAGGCATACTCTATGTGTGTTGTTATCAGCATATTACAGCAATATATCTACATCAGTCTCAGCATTTCTTAACTGTTCATTCACATGATTTTTCTTTTCTTATAGAAAATCTAACTCTCCAAAAAGAGTACGTAAATATGTAATTGTTGAGAAAAAAATGAGAACAAAGCGTGGAACGATTATCATCCAACAAATCAACAAACAAATCTATTCTATCTTAGCGAAGGAAATTATTTAGCGGCATTCAACCTAAATTAAATATGGGTATCCGACTACAATAGATATCACAGCGTGCACATTTCACACACCGTGGTTACTATCACGCGGAATATCGCGTTATTTTTTTCTGCTTAGCAACTGAGATTTTGGAACTAAAAGGGAAATTAAATACCTGTTAAAAGACATTGTCATTCAGAAATGGATCAAATCGGAAACCTTGAGCTTTCGTTAGTATAGAATATTTTTAAATATTTGAGTTTGCAAACTTTTAAATCTAAAGAAAATGTCGCATAATTTTCTTTTTTGCTTTGACAGGTTTCTTGTAAAAAGTGGGTGGGGTAACATTTCTATGTGATCATTGTTTCAGTTGCTGATCCTTTTATAAGTACTATGTAAAATATCTTCATGTAAATTATCATAAGATGTCCTAAATTCATCCCTGTCCTAGTGTCAACACTATTTCTGTTTATCTCACAAGTTTTGTCAGATGTTTGTGAAGAAAGAAAACAATTGGATATTTTAGACATCAAAGTAAATTTAACGTATCTGCCACATTTCTTCAACATTAAAACCTTGGATTATTAAAAATATAGTATATCAAACTAGCACTGTGAAAACAGGGTTGCAAAACAATAAATTAACCACCAAATCTACGAGTTAGAAATCGTGGTCAATCTTAACTAGTGTATTTGCCAAAAAACTTACTATAAATTGGTGAACACTACTTTTTCCAATGTTTACAAGACAAAGTTGAATAAAACTGTTGGATAGAATATAGTTAAGCGTACCCTAGAAAAAAGCAAGTCTGTAATTATGCTGTTGTCGACGTAACCCAGTCGGCAGTTACTTGTATTATAGGTGGGGTAATATATCGACTGACACAGACACAACAAATGCAAATATCTGAAATATCCAAGATATTTATTAAAGAATATATTTACACAATATAAATATAATTATACAACTATAACATGAAATGGTCAAATATGAAGTGCAATGGAGCATTACACAACATACCCGAACATAGCATATTAAGTTTACGGGTGACAGGTTAGTAACAATGAGAGATAGGAATAATAGAAATATAGAGAGATATAACGGTATAGGATCAGGGGTCAAATAACATATAACGCATTAAGATACAGTTAATATATTTTATTTGAAATGATTAACAAAATATAAGGCAGTGTACATTTTATATAAATTCTTATCCTACGACATACTCCTCCAGGTTCGTTAAATATCCTACGACACTGTCATTATGTTACAATGTGTTATTCTCATTTTTGTTTGTTAAAAGAAATATCATTTTTGTTAAATAAAAAAATGTAGAGGTGTGGGGCCAGTAGCACCTATTTGAAGCAAACATGCAAATATTGTTTATATTCAGTGGGTCAAATCAAATCAAAATTTATTTATTGTCAGTATATATATATATATATATATATATAACATTTTACAAAACATAAGCTATGTATTATTAAGCTTTTGACCGCCATAGTGGATCTGCTAAACTAGAAGGGATGTGTACCAAACAGTTTTATAAGAACACTTATCTTATTTTGCATAAAACCCTTAAGTCATCTTGAAAATGTCAAATTACCTTTATTTTTTTGCTAACGTTAAAAGAAAGAAATTTTAAAACTATTATTATGTTACATGTATTTTAGTAATTTATCTACATGCAAGTATACTGCAACACAGTATACATGTTCATGTAAATATGTGTAGTTAATTTTGTTCTTGCATTTGTAGATGGGCTCAAGGTTACAATGGAGGGAAAGCACACTACATTGATAAAGATGTAATTTGCTACCTGTGTGGACACAATATAAAGTTTGTGGCAGAAGATGGGGCAGAGACAGTTTTTAACTTCCCGGGTGAAGGTGTCGGTCCTTTTGCTGCTCACAGTCTCAGTAGATGTTTTGCTGTTGCTGAAAAGTGTTTGAACCCAAAGATTTATGTATTCATCTATCCTACATTTAGGCAGATGTCTATCCTAGAAAGTAAGTTTATTTATTTCTCTGTGTATCAGGTTATAATAAAAGAGTAATAAATATTATTAAAATCTATAAACAAACAATTACCAGAAAAAAATATAAATGAATAATTATCAGACAAAGTTTTTATTCCATAAAATGTTTGGCACTAAATATATTTATTTTCTTATTTTTAAACAATTAATTTTTAATTCAAACTACAATGTATATTTGTTTTTAAATATAAGTTTATGCAAGTTAGGCTTCAGTACATGTAGCTTGCACTTTCCAGTATAGTCCATGAACAGACTCGATCAAACTGAGCCTGCAACGTTTCCAGTTTTGCTGTTTTAGACTTTCTTTAGAGATTCTAATTCTCTATATTTTTTTCATACAATTCAATCACCGTCTTATTCACTACAAGTCATAACAGATGATTTTGTCTTCTCCTTTCAGAAGGTGCCCAGTTAGAGTACACACAACTGTTTTTCTCAAGCAGTGATTTCTTGTGCAGTTTGTCTGGTATTCCTGAATTTGAACTTACATTATGGTGTGTACAATATTTTCTCTAATTTTTTTATGTTTAGAGAAAATTTAAGATCTTAAACTATCTGTATAATATTTATATCTTGTGTTAATGAAAATTTGAAAACAATTGTTTAGGAGCCTACTGTGAGATTAGGAAATGAAAAGGAACTAATATCAAGCTAAGGATATTACCTATGTGTCTAATACTGTGATTATCTAAATAAACAATTGCTATAAGCACATTTTTCACATTTTATAATTCTCACATGAATGCCAGTTACAGCTGATATGTTTACCCTAACAAAATCTTTAGGGAAATTTTCAAAATATATACTGTCTGAATGACAAACAGTGCAGACCATAATCAGACAACTGAGCACAGATGTACTGGTTGATCTTGATCTGCACTGGTAGAGTCACTTATTACAAGCAGGGCAATGTTATCACATATATCAACTTGCATATATCTATATACAACTGTATATGAATATCCATATGCTCAAATGGAATATTTATATATTTTGTAGGAACTTTCAAGATGGCAGTCAGTTATGTAAGTTTGCCTTATCAAGGGAACATATTCCTACAAGTCTGTCATTTAACCCAGGCAACTGGAGACAAATCTGTGTGACCACAGAGAAGAATATCACCATGTTAAATATAGAACAAAGTGACAAGTACTATGTAATGCAGCCAACGTAAGTATCTGAACTGTTCAAGCCTGATTCTTTGATTGAAAACTGTATCAATTTTGATTAAACTATGTAAGCATGACGAAAAATTATATGTAATTATTTAAACTTGTAATTATTTTTATGTAAAATGCATGTTGTTCTTAAAGTTGAATGATATATGGAAATACTTAGTAAGAATAGTTTATCCCTTTTTGTACCTTTTCCTTACCTACCATCCAAGTTTGTTATTTAAGAAAGTAGTATTACATAAAAGCCAAATGTTAGAATCTAAATTTTAGATGTTTGTACTAGAAACATATAATTTTATGATAGGTCTATCATAAGGGATAATTGATCTATGACTTGTATTTGACTTGAGAGCACAGTGCTACTGTGTTAGGCCAGGATTGTAGAACAAAATTCTGTTCTAGTAAAATTGACGAGAGCCGAATACAATGATAAATCTAGATTCTATGACATTTGTCATATATACCAGTATACCTTCTAATATTTAAACTACATTGTATAAATTTAACTGCTACATGTATCAAATAACATGGCACAACATCAGTTCAGATCATAATTGTGATAAAATATATGAAGTTTATAAAAAACACACAATATGCACATGTATAACAAAAAGTAATAATTAAACAGATAAATATAGGCACTTATATCTGTTGTTTTTTTGTGGATCCACAAAATTAAAATCTAAGGAAATTTCATTTCTTCTGTTGTAACATTTTTTTTGCATTTAACTTTTTTTGCAATAATAGAGAATCAACAAATTTAATAACTCACAGAATTGTCTTATGTGACAAAAGTATGCTTACTAAATTAAGTGAGTACACAGTATTTTATGAGATAAAACGTAAGATGAATGTTTTCAGTTTAGTTCAGTTTGGAAAATTTGATTGGCCCTATCACAGGTAAGCTGGGCACCCAAACACATTTTCTTTTATTTTTGTCATCTGAGCAAACTATTGCTGGTTAGATCATACTTTTCACATGTTTTTTTTTATATTTCATGCAAAATCACTGCATTATTTTATTTTTTTCATTTTTTTTTTGCTTGTGCTTGATATTGTATTTTCTGAAATGTAAGAGTGCTGTAATCACATGTTATGTTCAATATTTTTGTCATGCACATTTATTTTCATCTATTTATGAGTTGAAGAAATGTATGATTGTTTTGTCTTTTATAATTTCATTTTGTTTGAAGTCTGTATATAAAGTGACATGCATTATAAAATCATTATGTCCTAGCAAGCCATCTGGTTAGCTCAATAAGTAGAGTGTTGGACTGTGTATCGGGTGACCTGGTTTGATTCCCGGAAGGTGCAGGTCACTTTCATTGTGATTGATCATGTAATCTTTTCTACTGTCATTTGCACTGTACCTCTGCTCTGACATATACAGCAATTATCAGTTCCTTGCCAAAGTGAAGGCAACAAGTACTGGTAAACTGCTTGACAGTCTGCCCAGGAACAATATGGTGGATGAACTGAGCTCCGTAAATTCATTGTGGCTTAATGCCGTGAACCGGAGTGAAAACTACCAAGTTACCAATACCATCACCATAATGTCCTAGGTAACTAGGATTATCCAGGAAATCATGTGTCTGGGAGAGGGTTTGTGGCATGGAGATGTTTTTCTCCTGGAAAAGAAATAAATGTAGTACATCAAATTTTCATTTCAACATTCTATAATCAAAGTCCATAAAATGATGTGTTATATATAATTAGAAGATGATAGATAAAATACTTTTCTTTTAGGGAAAAATCACAAAAGTAGAGCTTTCACATTGTATATGTTAATGTATTAATGTTGTATTTTTCCTTTGGTTTAAATAATAAAATACATGTATTTTACGTTGTACATACTGCATATATTTTTTATTCCTTTTCTTTCAGTAATGTTTTCTTATTCCTGAGACAACCTTGTTAGGCATCAGATGTCATCTAAATTTATATTTGCATTCAAAATGAATGGCAGTATCATAAAAATATATAAGACTTTCCTAGTTATGAAATTATTAGTAACATTTCTTTTCTCATAACTTAGAGGTTTGACAATACATATGGTATATTGGAATGGTTGGTGTGGTTATTATTTGAGCCGCATCATGACAAAACAAACATAGTGCGTTTGCGACCAGCATTGATCCAGACCAGCCTGTGCATCCGCCCAGTCTGATCAGGTTCCATGCTGTTCGCTATCAGTTTCTCTACTTGTAATAGGGTTGGTAAGCTAACAGCATGGATCCTGATCAGACTGCGCGGATGCGCAGGCTGGTCTGGATCCATGCTGGTCGCAAACCCATTATGTTGGTTTTGTCATGGCACGGCTCATTTGTGTTTTTGTAGTTATGTACAAAATTATTAGTAATGAGAAAAGAAGGATGTTGAATTATTTTTATCAATTCTGTACTTCAATTTAGTTTGTTAGACATCAAGTAAATAGTTTTAGTTTTCTACATGTTAAAAGTTGAAATCTACAAGATTAGAATCCAAACATTTTAACTATAATTCATTATTTACCGGTACAATATTTCATGTCAGTACATTGTGTTACTGTGTTACATTTAGGGATGGGACATCTGTAGCATGTGTCTTTATTACAAATTATTTACTTATTTTTGATTCGTTAATTCACAGACGGGTACGATTGCCATCTACAGATCCCGATGCTGACGACGAGGATGAATATGTACGTGAAGTACCAACACGTGCATCAACACGAATGACACGGTACACAGTCGATGTTCCAAAAGCAGCAAAGGCTGGACTTGTTGGTGAACTGGCAGAAAGACTTGATGATATTCAGGACAAAACTGATCGTGTGAAGCCTGTATCTCAGGTCTGGACACCTATTGGTGACCTTTATATTGGATGTAAGGGTGGACAACTCCTGAAGGTAAAGTTTTGTATTGCATATTGCCCACAAAGTTAATGTTAACATTTTTAAGAGACCACTGTTGAATTATTTATGAAATATTGAATGAACTTGGTGTTACAAGATTTGGATATAATCTATGACATAGAGGTATATTTTTTCTAATTTAAGTACTGTAAATATGTAATCAAGATGAAGAAGAAAAAGTTCACTGTCATATATATGTCCACATTTAGATTTATTGCCATTGATGACATTAAACTGGGATGATATTATGTAAAATTTTAATACCAAAAATAGGGAATTTTATTGAATTTCAAGTTCTTGTACATACACTGTATATATAATGTTTATATGTTTAGGTGGATGGGGAATCACACAAGGCTCGAGTGCTATATTATCCACCAAAGGTACCGGAAACACCAGGATCCAGAATGTCAAGTGCTGGTATTGTGCGTGAATCCATGGTTGATATGAAACAACCAGGTCGAATATATTTATTTATAATTACATTTTCTATTTTAATTTCTGAAATCAATAATTTTCTACAATTACTTTTTACTATTACTACAGTAATATCAGTGGGGAACATCCATTTTCATAATTGTTTTTTGTTTTGCTTGTTAAAGTTTTATTTTTGACAAACACATATTCATAAATGTATATTTATTTCAGTTGAGGATGTAAGCGATATGTTACTAGATGGAAGTATTAACTGTGTTGGTCTTCACAAAAGAGGTTTATACTGTGCTGGCATGGTAAGTTACACCCACATGTTGTAAAAAGCAAATTCCTTTTCTTATGATACACAAACAGGTGTAGAAGCAGAAATTAGATAAAAATGCTGTACATTTTACCCTGTAACAGAAAAATAGTCAGGTGTTTTTTTTCTCTCCATAGAATGGATTTTAACAATTAAAATGGATACCTTATGAACAGTACAAAATACAGGTTACCTGGTTTGTTTTTATGTACAAAAAACCTCATATGTCATTTGTAGAAGTGAATTATATTAAGAAACCAATTATGTGAATCAAGAAGAAGAAACTTTTATATATAATCATGAAATTACCATTTCATTTGAAATATGATCAACTACCTCTCTGTGTAATTTCTGTGAAATGACGGAAATCCCCCTGATAGGGAAACAACAGCATCCAATTGAGTAATGCAAAATGACCAAAATGACCTCACTAAATAAAAAGTTGGAAATATCACAATTACTTAATTGCTCAAACTTCATTGCTGTACCCAATACTTGTTTTTGAATTTAACTTTTTTTTACATGAATTTATACTGAGATTTATTTTTACAGGATGGCACATTGAGACTGGTAGATGTTAAATCCAGCAATGTTCATGTTATAGAAAAATGTCACGTTGGTGTCCCAATCTCTTCCATGACATTTTCTCCGAGTTACAGACATGTAATTCTTGGTTCAACAAGAGTAAGTAGAATTTTTCAGATACAATCTGTAAGCCTTTTTGGTCCATTGTAAAATGTCTTCAATCATATGAAAATTTGCTGTGATCTACAAGAGGACTAAAAACAAGATACCAAATTTATAATAAGTATTATTTTAGATGCAGGGTTATATGATGAACTGAGGAAAATTCTTAAATTCAAATTGAAGAAATTTACAATTAATTAATTTCCATGGTCTATAAAGTCTACAAACATACTTCTAGAAGTTTCTTATAAATCAAGACAAGAGATATACGATTTTTTATTTGTTTTTATTGTAGGGAACATTGCATCTTTATGAACCAGGAACAGCAGATAGTCTCAAACTACTGAAAGATCTTCATCATGGTCAGTTTGTTGGAATATCATGTCTCCCAGGAAATGAACATTGTGTTGTATGTATACACATTTGTCCAATTTTTATATAGTTTAGTATATCTTTCTGTGACAAAAATAGAAACACATAAAGTATTTAGAACCTTCCTGCTCTTTTAAATTTAGAATATATATATTTCATCTCAAATGTGTTAAAGTGACTGTTAATTAACAAAAGTAAATACATATACATTTATAAAACATAAAAATCACAAAATGAAGACTCAGTTTTTTACTAAAATGCAGATTTTGGGGAAGATATTTTAACATTTGATATGTAAACATGTTGAAGTTATTCTTAATACAGTTCATCAACTGACTAATGTTATATATTTATACATTTATTTGTTTTATAGACTGCCAGAGAAGATGGGGAAATACAAGTATGGTCTATTGATAAGGGAAATATGGTTTCCTCATTCAATGTTGGAGTTCCAGTAAGTATTTACATTTTCATGTTTATGTAGCTGAATAGAGTCTAGATAGGGTTGGAGGTTGTACTCAGGTACCTATTGGTGCCTGAAACAATGCATGGTTGGGTATCTGTGATGGCCTTCCTCAACCAGTCAGACTCGAAGGTCACCATATGACCTTTATAAACCCAACAAAACAAATAAACATTGCAGTGAAGGGTGGATTGGCCCTGTACTGGTTACATATAGCTATGTTATTTCCTGCTTGAGCTGCTAAATAGTTTACATTCATATGAATCTCCAGCTTGGCTTTATTACAAGTCAAAATATCAGTTTTATAAATACTGATTCTATGTTCCTTGTCATACTATTTAAAAAAATCTATGTTATGATAATATACATGATATGTTAATCACATACTTTTGTTTTTTAAAGGTATTTTCTGTAGCATGCAGTCCAATGTTACATGTTTGTGCTGTGGGTACTGCTGGTGGAGTCATCAACTATCTTGACATGACTAATGTGGAGGCACCAAGGATCATACAAGGGGTCAGGGTCTATGAAGGGCCGGTTATGCAGCTAGTGTATGTATAATCATAATGTTCATCTCCATACATTATTGCTCTAATAAATAGAACATCCAAATTTAACCCTGCTGGAACGAATAGTGATAAGACTTTGCCACCAGTATAGAGCTAAGGCCAGCCTGCATATCTGTGCAATCTAACCAGTCTCTATATTGTTGGCTGACTAACTTTTAATTTTCATCTTGATATCCCAATATCTAATAAATAAAAATTGTTTGTTTGTTTTGGGTTTTACGTCACATTGACACAGTATAGGTCATATCGCAATGTTTCAGCTTTACTGGTGGAGGAAGACCTCAGGTGCCCTTCCATGCATTATTTCAGGCACCTGAGTAGAACCACTGACGTTCCGTAAGCTAGCTGGATAGCTTCCTCAAAGAACAAAATTGTAAAATTTATTGTATGTAGTATTTCCAACTATAAAGAACTTTCTAGCTTTGAGCACAGGCCTGCAAATTGCCTAAATATTTATTGAAATTCCATCTACAATGTTTCCTTTATCTAAAATTAGACAGATAAGTTTTTGAATGGTTCAGATATAACCCTTTTATGTTATTTTCATGTTGAATATTTATTTTAAATTAGACAGATAACATAATTATGGTACATAAGTTTTTCAATGGTTCAAATATCATATTTTTATGTTATTTTTATGTTGTATATTTTTTTATGATAACCAGATATGAAGATGAAGGCAGATATTTGCTGTCAGCATCAGAGGAGGGCCATATTTTCCTCATTGATGGAAGAGCAACAGAAGGTTTCAAACCCTTAGCCCATACAGGTACACATCTACCATTCTAATGATAAAATAAATAAAATGAAAATTTGAAGAAAAAAAGTACTCATGCCTTTTATAGAATAATGTTCTAAATAAGGGGGAAAAAACCCAAAACATGAAATAATTATATATGATTTTTAAAAAGTAACAATTTGCAAGGTGCTTGACAGTCCATTTAAATTCTGATTTCTATTTATGGTAAACTGTTCACACAAAAACTATATTTTCAATCATTGATTACTATTTCATAGATGTTAATATAGAAACCAACTGTTATTTTTTATGATTAATTTGATTATTATTGAAAGGAGGTATAAAAAATAATTTTAGAGATTGGTTTTCATATCATTTGGTACATGTACAATGTTACCAAAGGTAGTATTAGTTGTTTGCTTTGCAATGCATAACTTACATGAAACAAAAAATTGTGAACATTTTTTATTAACACCAAATCTATTGTAATGTAATATTTACAGAAACCAGTATGGAAGGTATATATCGTACAATGAGTATAGTTCTAAACTAATGTCTTATTTCACTAAACATTGCTGTACTAAGTTGAAATTCTTTTTTGGAATATGCAGCGATATTTTCTCTATGCCCTTAAGAAATAAGAATGTATATATTCTTTTGACAATTTGTTACCTTAGTGCAGTGACAGGTTAACCTCCTATTAAATTATAATAGAAGTTAACCCATTTCTGCACTAAGGTGATTTATTTCTGCTTGATGAAAGAATTGGTCTGTACTCTTAACCCTAACCTGCCAAATTTGTGTAATATATTTGTTCTGCTTTGATTTTGGAACAGTTCATTCAAAGTTTTAGGAGTTTCAATATCAAGATCCAAAAATATGTGCTACTGCCAGTATAGAATCTCGTCAGACTGCATGGATGTGCAGGCTAGCCTGACTCTATCCTGGCAATAAAGGCCAGTCACTCAAGGTTACAGCAGGTTAAGGGGTAAAGGAATCCCTTGGCATTTTTATTGTCAAAATATGAATTAAGTTTAATTAAGATTTGTTAATTATTCTGTAGTAAAAATACTAAGGAATGATGGCCTACTCTTGTGATGTTTTTTGTTTGCAGCTATTATATCTGTGTTTTAAAGCTTTCTGTGTCAATTAATCATATTAACTGCAAAAAAAAGGATTTACTTTGTATTTTCATCATAAGTGTGTAAGTAAGTAACGGCTTTATTAAATGAGGCAACACAGTTGGGCAAGCCCAGTCTTCCTGTATCCCTGTCAGCCTTAACAATGTACAAAACAATTTATATAACACAATAAATACATCAAGAAGACATCAAATAATAACATGACATACAATACAGGATATATTAAAGAGGTCTGTAAATTGAACTCTCTTTTAATGTCTGTGGCAGTAATTAAAAGCTTATACAAGTATGGAGCCAGCCTGCATGTTCAAACAGTTCTACCAGCTCTATACACTGCTGGTGGCATGATTCTTGTGTTACAGTGATATCACAATTTGTGTAACTGATAATGGCCTGTGCTAAACTTTGTTTCATCAGTATAGCGGTGAAGGAAAAGTGATAAAAGAATGATAAACACAATACTGAACTATTGTATTGATAGGTCAATATCTATTGTTTTAATAATGTGTGTGTTGTTGTTGTTGGTAGGAAAGCACAGGTTCATGGAACATGTTGTGATTTGGCTTAAGGTCACCTTGATTTGAATTTCAAATTTCCATATTCAAATTGCTAAAGGTTTTAAGTAATTATGAGTAAATATTATAAAATACAGGAATTTTGATAAACTAGAACAAAGGTTTCATTCATGAAAAGTTTGATTGTTTATTATTTAATAAAAAAAGCCTCAAAAATGAGTAATTTGAAAGAATTCTTTCAGAAATGTTTTTTACTAAAAATTCTGATAGTTGACAATGTATTTTATGTAAGACTGGTTTGACTATTTTTAAACAGACTTTGGGTTTTTGGCTTCAAAACCCTTTTTTTAAAATTTTCCCTTCGCAACTGACCCCAAATAGCACATGTTTTAAATATATAAAATATTTTACAAATTTGACTCATTAACTATCAAAGGGTTTTAATAATAGAAAAATAAAAAAACTAAAAAAAAAGTAAAAATTTTTTTTATTGATTATAAGAGATAAAAATTTTTATATTCTAGGGCAAAAAAACTTTTAAACTAGGGGAAATCTCTATACCTTCTTTTGGTGTAATGACTTTACTTCTAACCCAGAGCATTATAGATCCTATAGTATCCTTACCCACTAAAGTATTTGTATATTACTATGTGTATGATTTAAGGACTGATTATATATAGAATTTATTTAATTACTATATATTATACATGTATATTGCTTTATATCATAAAGGTAAGCCCCTTTAGCTCAAATAGGTAGGGCATTTGGATGGCTGCTTTTATCCCTGGGTGAGGTGAAAGTTCCCCTTGAACATTCCGGTCAAATGATCATTTATCTCTCACTGCTAATTCAGAAATCATGCAAAATAATTTATAGCTGACTTGTTGACATATTGGTAATTACTGATTAATTATCCAGGAAAGCTAGTTAGGTTGACCAGACTCTGAGATTTAACCAAAATATGTTAAATATGGAGTAAAAACCAGTAAAACAAATAACCTAACAATATATCATTTTGATACTTGTTATTATTTGATTTTGTTTCTTTCCGCAGATGTCATGATAATCACTTTGTGTGACATTCAGGTTAAGATTTACTGTGTTAAAATACAAATATTTTATATATTATTTATAGATGCCCAAGGAGAGATTCAGGCTGTGACAACATACACTGACTCCAAGAACACACTACGTGTTGTTGTGACCCATAATACATCTGGCAATAAACGTATGGGTGCCAACTATCTGACAACATTCGAAGTTTCTGATGATGTAATGAGAGGTATGTAATTCAAACAAATTATAGTATTTTTGTAAAACTAAGGCTATTCTGATATTTTTTATTTAAAAAAAAAAAAAAAAGAAAAAGAAAAATAAATAAATAAAAAATAAATAAATAAAAAACCCGAGCTAAACAGTTAAAATTTGTGAATGATTCCTAATTGATATAAAAATGGCTGACTTTTTTATGTTTTCTTTGTCAATGAAGATTAATTACCATTATTGTTTTATGTAATTATATCATTATGTTCATTTCCATATTATGCCACTTTTAAGGCTAAACTGTTTTTATTATTTCATTGAAATATTTAACAACATTTAGAGATAGGCAACCGTGACTGAGTGGTTAGGGTTTTTGACTTCAAACCACTTGACCCTCACTGCTGTGGGTTCAGATCAGGCAAATTCTTTTATGTGAAGAAGCTATCCATCTAGCTTATGGAATAAGGCTGGATAGTGGCCATATGACTTCTTCTATGTTCATATGATGTAAATCCTAATAAAACATATATATATATATATATATATATATATATATATATATATATATATAATATATATATATATATATATATATATATATATATATACATTCCTAGCCTTCAGTTTACAGCATGCTGAGATAAAACTTCAACTTGCATAGATTTGATTTATAGATTTTAGTAACTTTTAATGATTTGCTTAATGAAATGGCTATTTACTCTTCCATTAACAATTTTTTGAAAAAAATATCCATATCTTTGTTATGCTAAAATGTTCTTTGTGTTCTATTGCAATCATTTGGATTAATTGAACTATGGTAAGTTGCTGTTGTAACACACCATCTTTTGGAGTAAATGTTAATTATTTGTACAGTACCTGAATATATGAACATCATACGTTGTTGCAGGGTTGTTTTTGTAATAGATTAAGTAAACAAACATCAAAAATGAGTTCATGAATTATTTTAATGAATGATATGTAATAGTTTAAATATTACCAAGTTATTTAGAGTAATTTACACTAATGCTTTTACATTATATATAATTCTCTTTTTCTCTTTGTAGATTTGAGATATAACTGCAACAGTTTAAAATATGATTTTAAAGACAAGTCCATCAAGAAGGTCTCTGTGAAGTTGGCAGTACCCTCTTATGGTGCGGCTATATCCGAGGGCAACACCATGTTCACAATGGCCCAGAATAATAAAGCTGTGCAACAACATACACTGCCAAGTCCTGAAGAGTTGCCTAAGGTAAAAGACATGGTATAAAAAACTGTATACAAGGGGCCTGAAAAATCCATTGAAATAGTCAAACTATTCCATTTTTATAGTTGTTCGAAAGTAAATTTGAATAAGGATTTCTTATATAAATCTTTTACCAGAGATTTTCAAATAGGAAAATTATGAAAACCAGGTAATTTGACAATTTCCTGCCTTATGTTGATTTTGATTATATTTACATTGATTAAATGCATGGAATGATCAGAATAAATGCATGAAAAAAGGAAACATTTACATATCAAATTTAGCAATTTGCATTCATAAATGGAGATTTTTGGGTTTTCAAAATTTATGTGTTTTTTAGTAACACATTGTAACCCCCATCCTTTTTCAGTGGTATTTTAAAAAATACCCCATTTTTAAAAAAAAAAGTCTGAACGACAAAACCAAATTTTAAAACCCTGCAAAAATAAAGGGAAATTTTAATTTTAGAAATATTTTCTAAATTTCAAAGTAAAATTTTTCTTCTGCATTTTGTTAAAAAAAACAAAGCGAAATTTTTTGTCTTTTAGGATTTTTAAGAAAGGGTTTCCCTCTTTAACCCAAAAATCAAAAAATCAAGGTCATAGTTGCCTGGAGGCCGAGTGTTGCTGTCTCCACATCATAAATGGCTAGCCTCTTATGGGACAGATGGCTCTGTTCTTCTTCGAACTATTGGACAAATGGTTAGTGTTGTATTTAAAACATTAAAAATTTTCAGCGGTTTTAAAGTTTTTTTTGGGAAAGGGATGTGTATTTTTTTGAAATTTTTAAAAACAACTTTATTTTGGGTTTATAGAGTTGGTTTTTACTATGCCCAAATGTTGGTTTTTTTTAATTTTAAAACCCTTAAAAGAGTAAAATATTTTGGGCTGTAAAAGCATTTTTCACCTTTCGGTTTAAGGGTTGGGGATTAATGCTTTCCCAAAGGATCACAAAATTTAAACCAAAATATTTTTTTGATTTAAGGGGGAAAATTTACCTTGACACAATGTTCATCTGTCATTTGCATATAAAATGGGCAAATAATAATAACCACTGCTCAGGGCCAAAGGAATTTATTTCACAGGCTGAAAGTTTGGGAAAACAACCATGGGAAAATTTTGTTTTAAAAAATATTTTAATTTTTTTAAAAAAATGTTTCAACCCCTTTAAACCTTTTTACCCCCTGGTGAGGGCCCAAATTTTACCCGTGCAATTTCCATGTCAGCTGGGACATCTTTGTGTTTAATCATGTTCAGCCCTTTTTGCTAATTTCCCAATTTAGTACATTTTTAAATTTTCCCTAAAAATGATGAATGGTTTTGTCCAGATTAAAAGATTTAAGATTTTTAGTGTTGTTAGATAAAACTATTATGTATTACATATTTATTATGCTTTATTGGTATGATAACGAAAATGTATTTCATACTAAATTATTTTTTCAGGAGAAGACAGTGTGTATTACACCACATGATTACAGAATCGGTGGAGTTAAATGTATGGCATTTGGTGAGGACAGTCAGAACATATTTACAACAGGGTTTGATGGTGTTCTTACTTGCTATTCCTGGAAGTAAGTGCTTTTACATATCAGCTATGTTTCCATAGATGAGAATAAATATTCAGAATTAAATTCTTGTATACATATCAGCTTACATTTGATAAAGTTGTTTTTTTTCTGGGTAAACCTCTCATGAAAATATGTAAGCTAAGGCTTTTAAATATTATGCATGCATATCTATTTTTATCTTGAAGGAAATATTGATAATGATATGGTAATTTCTTGTAAACGAAAGTTGCAAGAATTATTGACGGTCTTTCGCACAAAGAGGTTTACATAGAGATAAAGATGTAATTTTTTTTTTCTTTGACACTATAAAATTTGATAGTGTATAACTTGAAACATTACCTATTGTTAGTCCACCTTTAACACAACGAAGGTAAGTTAACTGCAGACTTTGAAACGATAGCTTCTTACAAAAAACTAATTTATGTTTTGCTCAATTTCATACAAGAGCTTGCTTAGATTTGTGCATTACTTCTATCTTACTTCTGCTGTGAAATAAAACTGCATGTTATTTCTATAAATGAAAAGATTTGCGCATATAATATTTTTGATTACTTGAACAATTGACATTTTTCAGTGACATGAAAACTCCATGCTGTTCATTGCCTAACTTTTTTCTAATGTCTTATCTATAAATTTCCATAAATTTTGTTTTGTTTTGTTCATTGATCTAAGTTTTAACACCTTTAACCATTCCAGTTTTCAGCAGTCTTTGATCTGTTTTTGCTATATTGCGATTAAAAATCACAATCTGATTGCTGCATCTACTGCTAAACAGTGCTTGTTTTAAAATTCATTACCTTCAGCTTTGTGTTAAAATGGCATCAAATTTTAGGAAAAGCTAATCTTTTTATATAAGATAAAATGTCCTTTAACAACTTTTCAAACAATTTTTGTCTTTTACATACTGGACCTAAATATTGTATGGCATGGCCCAGGGGTTAAATGCATCAAACTAGTAAATTAAGGATTGATTTAAATTGATTTTTTTGACACTTAGATAGAGTCATCATGTTTCAAAACTTAACTTACACTTTAAATAATGCAAAGTTACATAACATGATTTGTTATATTACAGATTTCTCAAATGATATAGATTCTGTACTAGATTCCATAATGGATATTTTTAACAAATCTAAAGTATGCGTGACTGAAACAAAACGGACTGTTCTTAAGCATCAACCTAAATGGTTTGATAACGAATGTTTTGTACTGAAAAAGAGTAAATACTATCATTTAACGTCGCTATCGAGAATGTAGATCGAATTCTAACCTCGAGCATTACATACAAGTTAAAAAAAACAATTCAAAAAACCTTTGTGATTATAAAAAGAAACATTTCTTTAATAACAAGCTCGATGATTTAGTAAAAGATTTCAAATAACCCTAGATCGTTTTGGAAAAAAAATTAAGTATTTTTTTTGTCTCGTCTTCAAAATGGTAGCGCTCAGAGTAGTTTCCTTTAGACTCTTGGAAAGATCATTTTGAGAAATTATTTCAAGGCCTAGTTGATGAAGACGCAGATGAAATTGCTCTAGTTGATGGAAATTTAACTGAAAATTGATAATGAAAATTTTAACGCAGAGTAAATCCCAGAAAGAAAAAAAAATATTAATGAGCATTTTCAGAAATCTGCCAAAGGGCCGGGGACTTGACGATTTTCCCACCAAATTTCTTTTAAATACACATTTTTATTTTAAATTTGCCCCTTAAAAGTTACTTTATTTTAACCAGACTTTTTGCTAAAAGGGGAAATTTTTTCCCTTCAAAAGGAGTACCCCTATTTTTCATACCCTTGCACAAAAAAGGGTAATGTTTAATGATCCAGCGAATTATCGCGGAATCTCTTTTTTTAACAATTTTTTATGTTTAAGAATAAACACATTCCCATTTAAATAGGGCGGTACTATCTTTGTATTGCCAATTGTTTTATAAAAAAATAAGTGAAACGGAATGCCAATTTGCTGGATTAGAGCTGTTTATTAAGTACAACAAGATAATTGCAATTTTCTTTGCATTCCACTATTTCTAAGGGCCACTTTTCAAAAGAAAAGGGCCAAAATGTAATATGTTTTGCATCGTTGATTTCCAAAAAACAGCATTGATCTTTTTCAATCGTAAAACCAAAAAACTTTGGGGCAAAAAAATGTAAACTTTACAAATGCTAATATTAGGGGGAAATCTTCTTAAATTCTATTATTGCTATGTATTTAAATGTAAAAAGCATGTTGGTTACGTTCGACACGTTCAAAATCCTCAGAATTAATTTAATTGCCCGAATTGGGCCTCAAGCCCAGGGGAGTTGGGCTTCCACGAAAATTGGTTTCTCATTTTTATAAATGAATTAATTCAGTTATGATTTGAAACAATGAGCGATAAAATTAAGTACAGGGGATAATTGCCAAAATGAAAATTTTTCAATTATGGCTTTGCTTTTAATGTTTTGGCGGGGGGATGACGTTAGCCCTTGATGCACAAAAAAACCCCAATTTAGAGGGATTTTTTAAAACCAAATTATCCCAACTTATGTATTAGGAAAAACGTTTTGCAAGGTCTATTGTTTTGCAAAAAGTTTAAAATATATTTCAAAAAAACCAAAAAAAAAGTCATGGTTTTTTTAAAAAAGGGGCCAGTCGATTAAGCGGCGTAATTGGAATGTTTTTTATTTATAATTTAATCAGGGGGGGGGCAAAACTTAAAAAAATAGTTTTAATCTTTTTACCTATGTTGGGAGTAAACATTTACAATCCCACTATTTGTTCGGTTTAAAAAATTATTATTGGGAGCAATAATTTTGCAATTGAAAAGGCTTAAAACGAGTATTATTTTTCTTTTACCTTTTTTCTTCCTTTGTATGGATATGGAACAATTGCCTTTCAAAACATATTTTTAAAATTTTATTTGATTACCCCCAAATATTTACCATTCCTTCTTGTTATGATTCGAATTATTGGGTTTAAAAACCCCCGATTGGAAAAAAATTGTGAGGCTTATTCATCGTTTAGCTTCGTAAAACGATTTTAAGTGCGTAAATAGAACATCTAGTAATAATGTAGTATTAGGCGACTGTGGTCGTTATCCAATTTATGTAGAATCTGCCATGCGTTGCATAAAGTGCTGGTTCCAAAATTATTGAAATTACCTAATGACAGATATGTAAAAATTTGTTATAGAATGCTTTCAAGTACAACATGTGCTAAATATTTTAATTGGGCAAATGAAATTGAACATCTTTTATGTAGTAATGGGTTTGGGCACGTTTGGTGAAACCAAGGAGTTCAAAAATGAAAAGGATTGTTTCTCCATTTGTTTTTGTCAAAGACTTAAGGATAATTATTTGCAAGGATGGTATAGCAAGTTAGATTCTAGTGATTGTCTCTCATTGTATAATCGTATTAAAAAACAATTATGACCAGGAAACTTATATATCTATCTTAAATATCAGGAATTCAGACATTGCTACGCTCAATTACGTTCAGGGCTTTTCACATTTAGAAGTGACTAAAAAGTCATATAGAAAAATTAACACGAATGATTGGAATTTGTAAAGTATGTTCCTTAGGATTATTTGAAAAATGAATTTCACTTTCTATTAGTCTGTCCTGTATATGCAGATTTAAGAGCAAACTATATTGCTAAGAAATATTATACTTGTGCAACAGAGCACAAATTGAATATATTATTATCGTGTAAAAATGAAAATGTTATAAAAAGTCTTGCCAATTATGTTTATCATGCAACAATTCGAAAAAAGATGATTATGCAGTTTTGATTTAGATACGTCTATAGTTTATCATTAACAATGTAATTTGTGTGAATTGTTATAATGTATTGATGAGTGTATCCACATAACTTTGTATCTTTTTAATGTTACAATTGTATATGTTATGGGCTGGTGGCCTAAATCAATAAATTCTGTTCTGTTCTGTTCTGTTCAAAATGTTGATCTAAACAGATTTAGGTTATAGGTTAGAATTTAAGGCATTGGAATTGATTTTTTTGACACTTAGATAGAGTCATCATGTTTCAAAACCAGGTATCCTCTTTAAAACGCAACAAAACAAACACTTGCAAATATTTTATCATTTCATCCTTGAACATTTTTACAGCTACACACCAACTGGCATGGGTAAGGCTAAATCTGCCATGGAGGCTGCTCGAGCCAAAAAGTCCCGGCTGATGACATCACAGAAGGAAGAGAATGAGCATCTCGCCAGAATGACCGACTGGACACCTGAGGACATAATGAGACCTGCCTCAGATAAAATGCCTCCAATGAGTCGGGAGGAAAAAGTAAGATAACAACTTTGTTTCTAATATGACAATTTATGAAGGTGTGAATTTCTTTGTCATATAAGATATTTATTGCTCATGAGATTTGATGCTCTATTATTTACAGTTTAAACCCACTTTTATATGTTAGCTGTAGCAGAATTCAGGATTTAATATAGAATTTGTTATGATTAAGATATTATACATGTGTAATAAATTTTGATATAACAGGAGAAAGCGAAGAGGGATGAAGCTTTTGAGAGGGACGAGATCTATGTAACACCAACACCTATCCCAGAACCTGATGCCACATGGCTGCAGGTCCAAGAAATGGAGGTAAAGAATGTTTTTGTTTTCTTTACTCTGTTTTCTCTTAAAATAAATACGAAAAGAAAACACTTTACCATTACCTAACTCTGTTTGATAATGATGGGTCTGTTCGATGTGGATTTTTTTAAAATTATGTAGGACAAAAAAAATGTGTAGACAAAAATTTGATTAATTATTGACCACATTTTGGAAAAGGCATTAGAGGCATTTCATTTAAGAGTAAAAACATTTCGCAATATTAACCGTTAACCTTCTGCGATCAAAAGCAGTCAGCCTTTGTGACCAGTATAGAGCAAGGCCAGCCTGCACATCCTTGTAGTCTGACCAGGGTCTATACTGTTGGTAACTCAATATATTAATATTATTGATATTAAAATCACTTAATCTTTGAATGGACTGTTCCAAATTTAAGGCAGCTGGGACATTATTATTTTGTAGATTTAACAAGATATTAAAAAAAGAAATGTTGAAGTATGGAATTATAGTTCTAGTTAATCAGCTAGTGTAAGATAAGAGAGGAAAGTGAAAAACTTTGGTTGACTTTGTGGACTATGTCAATACAGTTTCGCTTTTTATTCATTCTTTTAACATACAATATAGTTTCTAATTGTGTGATTATATTTAGAATCCTCACAACATTAGTAAAGAATTTTTTGATCTTGTAAGTACAGATGAACGTGGACTATTTTGTGTAGAACAGTTGTATTTGAAATGTAAATTATAGCTGGTTCCTGTGTGTGTAAAACAGCCATTGCCCGTGTGATAAGGGGATAGGATACAAAACGAATTATTGCTTAAAATTGTTTTTGATTTATTGGGAAATTATTTTTTTAACATTTCAATTTAAGTAATCCAATACACTTCAGAACCTCTTTGCTAGTAGTTGTTGGTATATAGTTTACTTCCCTTTTCATTCCTTCATTCCTGTTGATTAAAAAGCTCATCATGGATTTGGAATTCTTATTCCAGGTGTCAAAATTGTGTCTGAAATAATAATGAATAATGTATGGAGGTGCAATTAGGTGTACCTTACGACTTTCTCCACCATTGAAGTCAGAAAGTCACCATATTGTCACCTTAGTGCAGTAACTGGTTAACTCTTATAAGATTACATAGAGAGTTAACCTGTTACTGCACTAAGGTGATGATATGACCGACATAGTGTTGGTGTGACTTACAAATAAACAAAAACATCTCTGATTGTTTAAAGACAATTACAAAAACATAGAATCAAATATTGTTACAGTATACATTATCAAATAAGATTTAATAAGTTGAATTATTAAAACTTTATTACAGAAAGTAATTTTTAAGATAAAGTTATCCTGTCCCCTCAAATATTGTGACTTGCATAAATAAACATCCAATAGAAAAAAAATGTCATAAAACACTTAGCTGAAGATTTTTTAAATTTACTATGAAGAACAGTATCTTAAATAAGAAAAGTTAGTTCAATTTGCTTATTACATATTGTTGATATGTGTAAGTGTGCTTATTGTTGTATTTGATGTAAGTATAAACATGTGTATATAACATGTTAAATATAGTGGTGAAGCACCATTTATAAACTCTCTATGTTTGACAACTCTTTGTTCAAAATATTGAAAAGTACAAAAAAAATAATTCACTTTTTTCTATATAACTGCATTTTTCAAATAAGATAACCATCTAATATGATGAAAAATTTATCCAATATAAATGATTTTATTGAAAAATAATTTTGTTTTAAATTTATTCATTACAATGATCTTAAATATACATTCACAAGTTTGATAGTCTTAATTGTATTTCAATGATTAGATTTTAAATGGCCTTAAAATCTTTTCATCTCATCGGACATTTGAGCTCTCACTATTTAGATGTTGAAATTTGCAGTTTTTTTTTTATCACTTTTTTGCAGCACTGAGCCAGTGTATTTATGAACATTTTTTAATTCCACATTTTAAAACCAGTCTGTTATCTACATACATGTATTGTGTAAAATGCCATAAAGGCATCTGATTATGGAATTAAATATTTTTCATGTGTTTTATGTAATGTATTTCAGTCCTTCAAAGAGGAAGATAAACAATATGCTGATGTGAAGAAGAATTTGAGAGTTTCTATTAGAGACATGAGGAGAACAGTAAGTTATAATAATATAGTGTTGATACTTTTCTTTTTGTACATGTATCTTGTTATAGATTCCAAAAAGTTATTCAATGGCCAGATAGTAATTGGCCATATATATGAACTATCTTTTGCTTATTTTGTTCTTTGGTAATTGGCATATTAACTATAGGGATTTTGTATTGTGTATGGAAGTCAAAATACTATCATACAAGTAACATGTTCTATTTATAGTTACAAACAATGTTAAAGAACAATGAAACACTGCCAGAGATAGAACAGTTGAACCGACATGAGTTTGACCTTGACATTGAGGAACAGCTGAGACTTCAGGCTGAGGCTGACCAGGAAGTGGAAAGGGTAAATTATTGAAATTATTTTAAAAAATTTATGCGCGTTGTCCAATTTTAAGGATTTTAAAGATATCTGGGAATCAAACAGTCATGTAGTTTTAATTTATGATAAGCTGTAGGCAATTTACAAGTCAAACAGTTTTTTTCTTTATATTAGACAGAAGCATGTATACATTCTCTTTGTTATAACACTTCTAGCCATTATTCTGATATTCTTAGGAAAGACTGTGAGATATACAGATATTGGTTAAGTGGTTATAATAGGTGTAATATTGAAAGTTTTAATCGACTTATACATCTTTTTAATGTTGTATATAATCAGGTTCGTGAAGAAATAGAGTTTGAGAACTTAGCTAAGATGTATCTACGTGAGATGATCAAACGCGAGTGCTGGGATGAGATGGTGGTTAAAGGCAGAGCTGTCCAGGTATTGTTTTAAACATATATATTAATACTGTGTTGTATAGATTGCAAATATTATCAAATACTGGTCAGCTTTCTGCTTGTTGTTAAAAGAAACAAAGTCATGACTCAAGTCAAGCTTGAACATATATCTGTTTTACAAGGCTTATACCTTTACTCAGCCAAAGCCTTCAGGCTGAGCCAAATTGATTACCATTTATAATCAATGATTCATTTTAATGATGATATATAAATTATCAAAACATTGAAGAAAGTGTCCATTTCTTCAAAAATCGTATTAGTTTTTTAGTTCTTACTGAAATAAGCTTTTCAAATTTTTTATCTCTTATCTTATGCTTAGTTTAATAGATCTCCATGGCAAGTTGTTACCCCTGTTGTATGTTAAAATCCTTTGGACTTCAATTCTTTCAGAACAAAAGAAATAAAAAAAATGAATTGGACAAAATGATATGTAATTGGTTGATATTGGTAAAACTTCTAAGCAATCAATTAACTACCTGCTCTTTTTTTATTTGTACAGGCTTTTAACTCAAATCTAGAAGTGAGCAATTTCCCGATGAGAGAACGGTTACCCGAAACTGTAAAACTCATAGAAAAAGTTACCAAACGTAGACAGGTTGAAATTGCAGAGGTCAAGGTATTTATATTATATTAACTTCACTATTTTATTTTTGTAGTTTCCAAAAAACAACAAATTCAGTTATCTTGTATTATATATATATATCATTTTCCCAAATTTTACTCATCATTTCCCAAATTATAATGGTTTATATATTTGAATGACTTGAAAAAGAGTATAAATAGAATGAATCAAGAATAAAGGTTGTAAGGGTAGACTTTTTCTCCCATGGTATTTTCATATTTGCACAATTTAAAGTAGATAGCTGTTGCACTAGATAATTTGCTTTGTGAAATCATGGGGGGGGGGGTGTTTTTTCCAATCTGTTTTTGATTTTATTCCATATTTTAAACTTGTTTGTGACAAGTTAAATTTAAATTTAAATAAAAAATATTTGTTAGTTATATGTAATTGTTAGCAGAACCATTTTAATTTTTTTCTATTATTTTATGATAAGTTTACAGTAAATTTTCAATAAGCCTTGTTTGTCAGTGATATATTTTATTTAAAACTTTTCATATTTTAAAGAATTTCACATACTGCAAAAAGAGTTTTGTTAATTTTTCCAGCGAATAAATACATTGATAAATTAATCCAGACTTATTGAAGATTTATTCAAATTTTGTTGACTTAGATTTTACATGAGAGAGAGGACATGAGGGTCAAGGGCATTCTTGATCTATAAGTCAATTTAAATGTATCAGTTTATATACTATTTCCTATATCTGAATTCAAATGATTTCACATTGCAAACATCTGATAATATTTTTCCCTGATTCAAATATTTTTTCTTTTATTTTTACTTACCGGGTTGTCATTTTTAATCAAGTAGCAGACATAAATTTATTGGTTTTGTATTTTATATATTTTTCAATCAGTAGATTTTGTTTCTTATTTGATAATGTTATTATTATGTTATGAAATTATCATGTTATAACAGCATCATGTTATAACTTTATCATGTTATAGTTTTATCATGTTATTATATTACTATGTTATTATATTAGGCATTGGATGATAGGCATATTCCTATGCCTAAGAAAAAGGTACATGTATTTTCTGAAATATAATTCTGGACAAGATGGCTCTTTTAAAAAACAAAACGCTACTTTAACAGAAAATCTGGTCACTCTTTCGTATAATCAATGTATATCCTTTGGTCAAAGTCAAATTATTTGTATTCTCCTATTAGAATATATTTTCATAAATATTTACTATTTTAAACTGACCTTTATTTTATGAATTTCATAAATGCTAGATGCATCCTTCGACTGAAATATTTTACTCACACTATCATGGACTCTTAACAAAGATTTCCTTTGTATGTACTAAAATATTGCAGTTATAGTAAATATAAAATTTCAGCATTTTTCAGATTCTTTGAATTAAGAAAGGGATGGGGGTGTACCCTTATCACAAAAAATGAAATTATTTAGAAAGAGTGACCTATTTTTGACAGCAAATTGTCATACACTAAAGCTAATAGTTTCTTGTTTGTATATTAGACTGACTTAATCATAAAACAGTAAAGTGTGTATTAGTATGTTTGCTGTCAAAAACAACAAGATGATATATTAACCAGAAACTAGTATAGATTTCCTTATTGTGTTCTTATAAATGCTATCACTAAAATAAAACAGGCATTTATACATGTATACATTCATGTTAGAGTTGTGTGTTCTTGTTTTTACTATACCTATATAATATATTGTGTTTTAGAAATAATAATAAAAACAACTTTCAGCTTTATACCATTGTATATTAGTTTTGTTTTACTGTATTATAAATTGTTAAAAGAATAAAAATAATCAGATGTAAAATATTGCAAAAGTTTTACTTCACTTGACATGAGATACAGCATTGTAACACTGCGACCATTTAAACAATTGGGCTTCAAAGCAGTGCTTATCAAACATTCTTTTCTTTACTTCTGCTTTTATAAACTCACAATAGAGCTTCAAAGAAACTTTTAAGAAGGAAAAAATATATATGTTTTAATAGGAATTATTCTAAACCTTCAAATATTCAATTGTTTTGATCTCTTCTCTTTTCAATGCAAGGATGGAATTTACTTTAATATTGCTCTACTGAGAACATTGCAGTGTTATTTATTTATTTTTTTGTGTGAAATGTTTTTATGAAAATGTATATTAGGAAATATAATGATAATTAAATGTTACACTATTCAGATATCACTATTGTAATTTCCACTTTTAAAACCATTTGCTCTCACAGATTCAGCTCAATTAGTATGCTAGTAGAGAACAGGTTGTCTTATCATTTTTAGTTTCTTCTCATACTTCATCAGTACTTAGTACTGTACTTACATTCTTTATTTTCTCAGTACTGATTCAATTTTTGTGTTTCTGGACAGATAAACATTATTTTAAAATTAAACAACAACAACCATAAATTCAGGACAGATAAACATTATTTTAAAATTAAACAACAACAACCATAAATTCAATCAATGTTCAAGCCTAGATCATAAGATAAAATGCATCTTCTTTTATTTTTATTTTTAATAATTACTGATAGTATTTTTTCACTGTGAAATTTAAAACTTTGTAATATTATATTGTAAGTAAATGGTGTTAGGATTGCAACTCTAGTTTCTTTTTGAAATAAGATTAGGGCCAGGAATTATATTCAAATATTCGAAACACTGCCGAATATTCGAACATTGAAAAACGAATACGAATATTCGAAAAAAAAAAATTTTTTTGTATTACTTTCAAATTTCAATTAAGATCGTAAATTAAACCATTGACCTTTACTTGACCAGGTGTTAACACGTTTGTATGACGCGTGTCAACGATTATCGCCAATTAACTGTGAAAACTTTGGGGTGTAGTTGATCAAAAGGGCACCCGTTTCACAGTTTGCAATTTACCTGTTTAACAGAATATAATGTAATTATTTCCGATTTTAATTATCCTATTTACTGTTTTCTGTGCAATAATCTTTCAGGTTAATCAGTAATTGTCTTAAATTTTGTGAAGACAAAAAAAAAATGGACACTTTATGAAAGCTACGCTCCTTTCGCAGCTCACTGAATACACTCACGTTACTTAAAGTGAGCGATAGTGCAACATTCGACTGATGCGCATGAGAGTATATGAAAGCATGGTCAGTGTCTATATTCTGTCAAAATTCCGTAGGAATTAGACACCGTGTGATATTTACTGCGTTAAAGCTAAATTTATCTGAAGAATATTTTAAACCTTATCAAAAATTATATATGAATAAAAAAAATATATTGAATTCAAGTTAAGTTTCAATATAAATTATGTGTTTTTGGGGCTTAGAAGCTACGGTGATTCATATTACTGTCAATCAAGTCACGTGAAATACCTCCCGTTAATAAGACAAATGATCAGCAGCCGGATTAACTGAACAAAAGACAATCAAATTATAAATTTATTTCAAAAGTAAACATTTATGTCGATTTACAATATATAAAATAAAAAACTTTTACGTAGTAATATAGGTATTTTTAATCGTCGATTATTCCAAGCATATTAAAGTAGTATAGTATTCAACATAATCAATTTCGGATACGTATACGTCAAAGAAAAATATTGGAACAAATTTTGTAAAAACGAATATTCGAATATATTCGAATATGGAAAACGAATATTCGACCATCAAATTCCTTATTCGTTCCCAGCCCTAAATAAGATACATAGTAGTGATATATAGTCAGTCACATCTTGTCTTATCTGATATAGTCCAAAAGGTGTTTTGTTTCAAACAAAAAAGTTCATATAACCAATCAAAACAGTTCATATAACCAAACAAAAAAGTTCATATAAGTAAACAGTATCAAAATTGCTTGGTTATAATTTTTATTTCACTGTTGCTGATTTGTCACATGCTGAATGCCTGCTTGTATTCAACCAATCATATTAATTGATTCAAATTTGAATTGTAATAGTGTATCAGCATTGTACATGTATATAGGTTTTTTGTGTTTGCTTTATATAACAATGTTTCAGTAGATTATAAGTGGTTTAGTGCCTAGCTTGTTTAATGTGTGGCTTATACTAATATCTTTATAGGCAAGAAAAGAGCACATAGAGACTTCAACAAAGCCAGCTATCACCACAGCGGTATGTATCACACTATTTTGTAAAACCCCTTCCCAGAAAATGGACTTGTCTAATCTAATAAACAATCAAACTGAATAATGATATTTGAGAGACTATCTGTCATTATGGAATAAATTTCTAAAATTCTATTTACCCCCCCCCCCCCCCAAAAAAAACAAAACAAAACCTTTTACCAGGTCTCTAAAGACAGACCTGACTGCAATGTTAAGATGGAACTTTGATAATGACAAATTGTTATAGATATTCATATAATATTATAGATTTTTTTTTTGTTATAAGCTTTACATGCAGCTTTTCAATCTAAGAAAGTTGGCAGAGAAATATGGTTGGGATAAAAAAGTAAGAAAACAGAAAAACTTATGAAGTTGGTAACAACATCCCCATGAAGAGTCATTTTCACATTGTTTTCCCCAAGTTTAGAGTTGATTTTCAATAGTATTTCAGTCATATTGTAAATACGTGAGGACCGCTATCTTAAAAAAAATTGATTGATTATGTACAAGTACTTGCCTATTTCTTTGTCCACACGTAACACATCACCCTTCCATCATTATCCATTCACCTAGTATTCTTCCAAATCGCAAAGCATTGTATTTATTTCTTTTCGATAAAAAATAGTTCTATATATTGAACTGCTATATGATCCCATAAAGCCTATTCTTCTTTATAGGTTTGGCCAAAGGCAGTGGTCATTGTGAATTTGCTAAAAAAAAAAACTTCCTGAAACTTAAGTAGAATAAATCTTATTTTTTCGTAGTTTTTTTCCACTACAAAACTAAATTATAATTCAAGCTGAAGATCATGTAATATTTTCTGTTTTAGATGTTTTTAAGTATTTTACAACAGAAAAGATATGGATATGGTTTAGTAAGATTCCTGATCATTTTTAAATGTTCCTTACAGTTAACAAGTTAAATTTCTTATATCCATTTTTGATATTTATATACAATTGTTCAGTTGACATGTTAAATCTTTTATATTTTCATGTTTAATTCTTTCTTAAGTCACTTTCATTGTTTACCATTGTTTAGAACAGTTGACTATCTTGTTAAATTTTCAAAAAAATGCATGTTTAGTTGCTTCTAACTTCCATTTAAATATTATTTTAGGTGAATTGAATTGGCTCGATGTTGCTTAAATATCTTAGTGTGTATTATAGAATAATAGGTCGGGATTTTATATGAGATTTTGAAAAAGTATAAATTCAAATTATTTTCAATATTTCTTATTATTCTTAAATTACCTGAAATATTTTGGCCAGTTTTGTCATTTGTGATATTGATATACAGGTAATAAATACATTGATATTGTTGTTATTTTTCCTGCCTGTTTTCTCAGTGTTCCCCCACATTTATTGGTGGGCCCACTATGAGTTGGGCAGTATCCAGTGTTTGCACGGTAAATTGTAACTCTGGTTGTACAATCTGTTGTAACCATAGCAATTTTTTTAAAGACCATTTTTTCATCCAATACAATTTCTTTGTGTTGTGATTGTAAGTGTAAATGTATACATTTCTTGCATTTGTCCTTGAAAATTACATTTCAATATTTCATGATTATGTGATTATTATTGCAAATGGTGAATTAATTGATTAAAACTTTATCAATCTAAATTTAAATTGTAGTATTTAATTTTGTTATTTAGAAATTGATTAATTTGTACAATGTATGTCGTAGACAGTTTTTAAATGCATCTTGTTGATATACAGATACATATAAGATAAGTGTGTCAGGTATGGTAAAAAATTATTGCCTTGATGTTCATTTTTTCTTAAATCTAATGTGATGTGACACGTTTCTTTGCAATTATTTTGTAATTTGAAAAACAAACAAAATATCTCAACAATTCTAAAATCAGTTCAATTCTGAAAAAGCTCAGATTTTTACTTTGAGATAATGTGACAGTCATAAATTAAACCAACTTTCATATTATCCTAGATCTGTTGTAGATTATCTTGATAATGAATGGTTTTCACTGTTTAGGATAATGAACTTGTATTGATTCTTTCTGATGATATGACAATTGCATGTATATATACTCGGCTTTCATATTATCCTTTAACATTTGTAATAGATAATATTAATAATTGAATGGTTTTCACTGTGTAGGATGATGAACTCAATGAGGGTGAAGATGATGACGGGAGGGAACAACCGTCCAGTACCGGAAGTCTTGGTAGGTGTTACTATTTATAGACATTTATTACTACGGACTTAATATTGTTGTGTTCCAATACTCCGCTATTTCACTATTCAGTTATTGTGTGTGAAAAATATATACATATATATTATAATTTAAAGTTGTTGTTTGGGATATACATTGCTGTATGCACTGAGATCTATCTCAATTTCACGAGCAAGGTCTTAGTGATTTCTATGAACATAATTTGATAAATATATGCTAGAGTCTTTGTTATATTTCTTGAATTTTCTTGCATTAAAGATTTATGACCTTAAGAAACAAATTCTGCTTACAGTTTAAAATACCTTTTTACATAAATTTGAAGATGCTTCTTTCTCAATTTTTAAAAATAATGAGTTTGTCAGTTAACATACAAAACAGAACATCTTTCAAAGTTTTATCTATTAATTCATCCATGGTTCTAGTTAAATTTGATCATTTTAATGCATTGTTCATTCATAACATGCATGAGTCTTAATATAATTCTTTAAACTGAAAATTTAATGATAAAGGAATGAGGGTTAATGCCCTTTTTTACAAAGCCCCAAGGCTTATCAGTATGTACATATTATGTCGTCATAGATATATATTTAAACAAATGTGATTATTTTTAAAGTTGCGGACACTATAGGTAAAGGAAGAACTTACTTTTTTTATTTACTTTTTGACAATTACAGTTAGCCACCAAACCCAGTTTTAATATAAAAACTCGTTTCTCACATAACGAAAAATTCTACGTGAACTTTTTTTTAACACAGTTCATATTACTCACAATCTTGTATATAAAAGTATCCCTTTTTCTGTTCATCTTGGGCAAATTTTTATTCTAATTTAAAATTTAACCAGGTAGAGTTAAAAAAAACAGTCAAGAAATTATAATGGCTTATTCAAGGACCTACACTGAGGTCTAAAAGCGTAAAATTTTAATTTCAAACCTAGATCAGTTGGGTCACTTAAAACAAAAAATTTGCAAAAGACAATTAAGAAATATGTCCAGAAATAAATTGCAATGCTTTTCAAGATTGGCGTATTTTTCACAATTAGAATAATAATTCTAGAAAATTGGGTAAAGCTAATGATATAAAATTTTTGCAAACAATTTATTAGACCTACATCACATTGAACATTGATAAAAAAATTCCAGTCCCATCGATCATGTCAAAAAACCTCAGTGGGGTCCCTTTTTATTGCTTTTGGTAAGATTTTCTAGAATGGGGGTAAAGTATTGAGAGTAAAAGAAGTATCATTGAAGAACCATGATTATTTTGAAATTAACTACAAAATTTATGTGTCTCAGAATGTAGGAAAAGGATACTTTAGAATATATATTTTTATATAATACAGTCTTTCTGCATGAATAAGATATTCATTTTGATCATTGATTTATAACATTAACCAACATTTAGGGTCTTTGTCATTCAAAGTGTATGATATTTTAATACAAATACCTGAACTGTTAACTTAAATACACCTCATCATTCTCTACATTACTTTCTATATACATGTACATTTCTCATTTTCTTAAATACGAATAATCATTGATACTTTTACTGTCCTCTTCATTATTATATTCATTCTACATTAATTACTATGAATTGAAATAGGCTCAAAATGTTTGTTTTTTATAAAATGTGGTAGAATAAATTTTGATTTTTTCCTCTTCAAGGCATACTTTCTGCCTTGAAGTGGGTTGTAAATTGGAGATGAAAATAAAGAGTAAACTCAGGGGAAAAGAAGTTTAGCTTTGGGGTGGAAGCAAGAGTTAATTGATGGGAAGTATACTAGGGGTCTGGGGAGAGTATATTTAAGTAAAAATAAAATCAAGAGTAAATTAAGCTAAAAGTACATTGAATGGAGAGACATATCAAGTGGGTGGGGGTGGGGGGGTCTATTCAGAAAACTAGAGTATATTTAGAGAAAAGTATAGGGAGGGGTAAAGATAGAATATGCTGAGGGGGAAAAGTACAAGAAACAAAAGTAAATAGAGGGAACAATTTTATTACGGTATTATTATTAAAGGAAATAAAGTATATACATGTATGTGGCTTAGAAACAAACATTATTGGAGCCTATTGATATTATAATCCTTTATCTAATGCTATAATAGACATATAGATTTTGTTTAATTCACAAGAAAAAATTTGCAGTTAATATTCATAATATCTCAAGAATTTTTGTCGAACACTCTTCACTGTATTTTGAAATTATTTCAGTCACAAACAACTAAAATTACCATGTTGATTTTCTTGAATGCCAGGACCACCATATTAAAGTGATAATGATTGTTATATGCTTTTTTATTTTATTTTAATAGGCAGCATGTACAACATATATATTGCCGGTATATAGTTATAACACAGGTCGTTTCTGTGAACCATTGTTGTTCTTTTTTTTGTTCTTTTCATTTTGCTACTTTTGTCCTTTATCAATAATTTAAATTATTTCATAGTTTTCACTGAAATTGCTTTTGGGTCAAAATCTGGTATTATTATAAGATATATATAACCTTTAACCTTCTGAATTTGTGTAAAAGGATTGCCCAGCTTTTCATTTGGAACAGTCCAGTCAAAGTTAAAGGGGTTTCACTATCAAAAATTAAAAATTGAGCTATCAACAGGGCTGGCGTTCACAATTGCTCTTAAAGTCAAAATCTCAAATCTTGTTGAGAAAAAGTTAACTTGAGATTTTTCTCAAGAGAGACTGAATCTCGGCCAATTTTAAGGTAATCTTAAGTTGACATTTGTCACAGTTTGAGAATGTAAATGAAAGCTGGGCCTGATCAGGTCACACTGCTTGGATGTGCAAGCTGGCTTGGATCTATACTGCTGGCAAAGGCTTAACACTTTTTATTCCAGCAGGTTAAGTGTAAGCATTTCATTGTTTGAAATTTATTTTCATGCTTTTATAATTTTGACATTGTCAAATATTATCATATTTTGTTATACAAATATATATACTTATATTCTTATATTCTTATCTAGGCAATATGGTTTATTCTATATTTTATCATGCTGTAGTAAAGGCTAAAGAAAAAAAAACAAATGGAATAATTTACAGAAAAAAAAAACACTAACCTAATTGATTAAATACATCAGCTATGAACATAGGCAATAATATTTTGTTCAACTTGAACTTGTTTGCAGGGTAATTTAGGGCTGTACACAACATGATAACATGATTGTGCATGTTACTCAGATTTCTCCTATATATATTTTATTTCATTTTTTGTTCAAGTGTGAAGCGTATTTTTATTGATACAGTATGTTTTATTATTCTATATCTATTATTAACATCCAGTCATTGCTTTTAAATTGTACTATGTGACCATCCAATATATTCCCATATTGGATGCTGTAGCAACCCAATATGATTATCCTGTATTGGACAGTGAAGAAAATTTGGTCTTTTCCGTGTAACATTGATGATAATGATAAAAGCCAATAACTACAAAGGTATTCAAATGAATTATACTAAAAGCGTTGCAAGCATCTTCTGTCAAACCTTATCAATACTAAGTTGCATTTCCTTAATATAATTTGGATATAGAATAAACAGGTTATTAAACATTAAACAAGTACAATTCAGAAATATATTTGACACTCATACACAGCTTTAGAAATTCATATTAGACTAGCTTGGTGGCTCGTCCAATATGGTTTCTCCAGCTGTGTAATTGTCCAAATATATTCCTGTATTGTACAGAAAAATGTTCAATATCTTATTATTATAACAATAAACAGACATTTATTTTGTTTTGCTTTTTCACTTTTTATACACAGGATACAATATATCAGTGACAGATATTTTGGGTAATGAGAGAGAAGTTTTCATATTTTCATATATTATATATTATATATATATCTCCTCTCACAAACCCAGGGACAGTATGGTGATGGCTTCAGTATATACTCTATCCAAGCTTTCTCCAACAACTCTATTTTCATCTGATAGATTTATACATTGTTAGATTTATACTTATTTTTTTTTACTGCAAGCATGTTTCATTGCAATATACTTTATATATATATATTTTAATCCAATATTGAAGAAAGATGAAGATCATTTTAATTGAATTCTCCTGAAACCCCAAAAAGTCATAAAAGGACAGGCCTGACAGTGATGGATTGATGTTGAAATGAAGCATCTGTCTGCAGTAGCTATAAGAAAAGATTTACATTATATTTTCCTAGTTATCTCCTGTTATGTACCAACTGGTATTTTTTTGCCCTGGGTGAAGGGAGACAAGCATACTTAGGACTTTCAGCTCCCACTGTCAGTGGAATGGACCCAATTATCAGGAAAGAGACATGAAATTCTATTCTAGACATGTGATATGTAGGGTTTTTCTGGATTCCACTCTAGGGATTTAGACATATCCATTGTAATAGGGTGGGATTTAGATAATAAAAAAGAAAAATAATGACAAATTTCCAATAGTCAGCCTGACAAGACAAGCCTATATGGGACAAAATATTGATATACTTTTAAATTATTCTTTTCATTCAGATGCAAAAGAAAACACTGTGCTTTATCAAAGTTACAGTAAAACTGTTGTTTTGCTGTTCTATGTTTCAAGAATAAATGAATGTATTAATCATTATTTTTGGAATGAAATCCAAAAATTGTAAAAGTTTCAGACAAAATTTTTCTCTTTTGTCACTGAAAAATTTTTTTTCTTGATTTTATTGTAGATTGAATATATATGATTGTTATACATATAAATTGCTAAGAATGCACACGAAAGAACAATTTCTTTATGATATGCATATTAATTTGTAATGACCTGCACATTTCTTTGAAATTTCATAGGTTATAAAGTGCATGTTTATTTTTAAGATATGTTTTTTAGATATAAATCCCCATTGATTAAGGTGCTCCATCCATCTACATAAGTGTTATTTTTTTACTATTCTTACGTAAATAAGCATTTGTATGACTTTGATTTAGAAACACTGCTCTTAGTCATGCAAATGCTTACAATGAATTTACATGAACACCACTAAATTTGTGTGATGCTCTTGCCCTGTTTGATATGTGTTTTGGAACAGTTTATTGGTTATCTTAGGGATTTCAATATCAAATTGCTGAACTAAACATCAAACTATCAAACTATACTTAGTCATGTCAGACAGCATGGATGTGCTTTACTTGCACTTTACTGGTGGCTTTAACTAAGAGAATCTTTCATTTGGTTTTTTTAAAAGGAAAACCCAACCATAGGGTGACTGGTTCGGTTGGATACAGGTCTTAGAGACTTTCCAGCACAGCTATTTATAGTAACTTTTATAGATTATTTACTATCTTGGTAGCATTCAAAAATGTGTTACATATTATGGTGAATATAAATGAACAAATTTATGATAATAGATGGAAGGTGCACCTTAATGCTTACCTTAATATAGTGCATGAAATTGCAGTCTTATATTTCATCTTATTTCAAACAGTTATGTTGTATGACTAACAGCTTCAATATTTCATTTAGATCTAACATTTAGGTGACATGATATAGTAGAATTATTATACTCAAGAAAACTAAAATCTTAGAGGAAGTTTGACTTTGAAGTTCTCTGTAAGGGATGATAGATCTTTTTGCATGTTCATTTTAACTTCCATTAGTCGGATACATATTTTTACAATGGACAAATGATAAAAAAGTTGACACAATATTTATAGAAGAATTCCATAAAATGGTTGAAAAGAAGAGATTAATTTTCTTCAAGTTTTATTTACAAAACATTTTTTTTAGAGGTATACTAGATTCCCTATCCCCCAGAGGTATCCCTTTGTTAGCAATCTTTGTCAGTACGCCCCAAAATGTAATTAAAAAAGATGTCTTTTAAACAGTTGCATAGTTACTTTACATACAAGTTATATCACTTCTCAAACAAGTATTTACTGGGTTTTTGAGTCAAAATTTTGTTACAAGCATATTTAGTTTAAATACATGTGATTTTTTTTTTTAAAAAACCCATAGATGTGATTAGTTAGAATACTTATAAATGTATATGCATTTTAGCTTCAGAGATTTAGTCTAAATAAAAATACAAAAAGAAAATTAGCAATGCATTTAATCAGCTATTTTAGCAGCATATTCCTACATATTCAGATATTTCATTATACATTTGAAATTTTTACTGCTGTATAACCATTTTTAGACTGAAATATATTATCTATTTCCTTATATAACAGGTGCCCAGTATGGTGGTGGGAACGAATTGTTCTACAGTCAATTTGAACTCCACTCTAGAGAACAGAAAGTCAACCAGATCATCTTATTAGAGGTAAGAATAGTTCTTTCTTGCTTTTGCTCCAATAATTTGTAAACTTGATCTTCCCTTCAGAACATGTGGTGGGGTAGTTGGGGTGAAAAAAGTGGGAGAAATGAGTCATGTTTTTATCTCCTGTTTTGTCTGTGCTTTGCCTAGAGCCTACAGGGCAGGGTCTTTACTGGGGTCTAAGTAAAACTCATTATTCATACTGGACCAGTGGAGATAAGGAAGGGGTGATATGAATTGATTGACCAGTTTATCATATTTTCCTTGAATTTTCCTCAGTTTTGAATTTGTTCAGTGTGGACATTTTTACTCTTGGTCATAATCAACACTTTAAATACGAATTATTTAAAAAAAAATGTGGCTAACTGACTAAATAATTATGCTTTTTCAAATGAGTCATCATTTAAGGCTTACAGTAGGCTTGAATCCTGGCAGGAATCTTGAATTCTTTTTAGTACATTTAAAGCAATCCACACATGAAGTTAACTTGTAGATTGTTGCAGTTTCGAATTCTGCCAGGGTCTATTTGAGGAAGCTATTCAGCTAACTTATGGAACGTTGTTGGTTCTACTAAAGTGACTGCTAATGCCTTAAATAATGCACAGAAGGGCAGCTGGGGTCTTCAGTGGTTCTACCCAGGTGCCTGCCAATGCATGAAATATGCACGACTTGGTACTTGAAATTCTAACAACAGGAAAGCTAGAAAGTTTGCTATTGTACCAATGCAAATGTGACTAAATACCTCCCCTTTACCAATAGCAACAAGTAAATGGATAAAAACATGGATTTACCATAACCATTGTAGACAATACATTCTGATTGTGATTTAATGATTCAAGTATAAAAAGGTGTTCTCAAAACATTCCCAATAATGTTCTTGAAATTCCAGTTAATGTCAAAACTGTTTTAGCAATTTATTATTATAAAATGAAAATTATAAGTGAATTGTTCAGTGTTGTGCATGTAATTTTGATTAATATCTCTGTCTACAGGATGCCATTTATCGTATCAAACAAGTGTTTAACAAAGACTTTGATGAACTCTTCATAAAGAAAGAACAAGAAATAGGTAAAATCAAGGAGAAAAACAAGCGAATAAGGAAAATAATTGCTGACCTTGACTTTGCTGAAGAGGTCATAGAGCCAAGTATGGGTGTGGCTGAGAAACCAGAAACTTTGTTGACAGTTGAGGATGATGAGGTAATGTCATATTTAAATTAGGAAGGTCAAAGACAGGTCATATGTAATATGATGTTCTAAATAAATATTATCATGTTATATTATAGTTGAAAAAATATGATTTTATGTGACCTAAATTGTTATGATATTTTGAAAAGATTGATGAAAAAATGACAAGCTAATAAAGCTCTTTTAAATCTTTTTTTTCTTAAATGAAGAATGTGTGGGAAAAAAAGACAAGAAAAACTTCTTAGCAATAAAGTTGATTTCTCTACCAGATTGGGCTAATGTACAAAGTCCCTTTATATAAAATAAAGTATGTTGTTACTCTGGCATCAAACTCAATGTTAATATTAGTTAATACTGGACGCTGTACTCAACTTCACAGATAAATGTTCCAAATTTTAAGACCATTTTACATTTATGATTCATTAAATAATGTTTTTTATTTCATTCAAATGTACATTCTTATCTATTGTCAGGTAAAAGTGGAGAGATATTACACACCAGAGCAAAGGAAGGTGATGGAGAAGAAACAGAAGGAGGAAGAAGAGAGACGTGCACGAGAACGTGGTGATAATGCTCGTGAACGTGCTCTCAACCAGATGATGGGTGGGGTACTTGAGATAAAAAAAGAAGATGAACTGAAGAAAGTAGGTTGAAAGCAAATATAATAATAAATTTCGTTACTCTCTAAATCATTTATGACACTGACAGCGTTTTATTACTTGTAGATCCAGATATCTTATTTTGTGCTGTGTTGCTTTACTTATTTTACAATTTCAGTTTCAACATTTATTTACATGGTACATTAACAGTCCTGTGCACCTGAGTGATGGCTTATGGTATTGATTTTTGAAACCATTCATTTTTAATTATAAAGGAAAAGAAATTACATGTCTTTAGTAAAGCTGTTTGCCAAAATGTTGTGACAAAAAACACATGAATAAAAATATTTTGAAGTTCAGTCGATACATTTGGCAAATTTTTAAAAGAGGATTTTATCTTGATGAAAGATTACAATGTACATCATAGGGTACTATATACTCAAATATTAAAGATATTTTATCTACATATTTTTTATATACTTTCAGGATATTCCAAAGCCAGCATTTATGACACAGAAAGATGAAAATGACTGGAGTGAGGATGAGCAGAAACTTGCTAAGGAGTTTGAGAAAAGAGTGAAGGAACTCCAAGAGGAAAGAGAAAAATACAGAAAGGTATTTACAGTATTCCAGCTCATTAATTTTGTTGTTTTTACAATTCTTATTTCTAGACCAAGGTCCCTTGGTTTTAATGCTCATATCTGGGTTTATAGTGTTTTACAGTCATTTCATATACACATATATACATGCATATGTAAACAGTGAGCATATATTTGACTAAGTTGTAAATTTTCACACTCTTTACTATACATGTATATAGTTTTTATCAAGATGCATGGGTTAATGGCAATGAACTTCAGATCATCTATCTTCACAGTTTTACATTTTAATTTTAATTTGTTGCTAATTGTTTCTAAGATTTCAGATGAAAGCATTCAAATTGTTGGGGGCTGTTTGTTCCCAAGATTATTTTAACTGATTACCATCTCTTGATTTCAGCAACTGGAGACTGAATTAAGAAAGAATCAGGGTTTGATCCAGGAAGGTATGGCAACATTTGATGACATGATGAACACAGTGTTCATGAAGAAAATCAAGGTCATGATGGTCATTTACCAGGTTTGTACCTCATTTATCTTGTATATTATGGTGCATTTTTACATGTGGCTAATGTCTTTTGTATAAAGGTTTGACTATTTGCTTGTCTTGTGACCTGTTTTATGCTAAGAGCAATAATCAAAGCATTATCTTAATATTTTCAAAAGTGCCCTGTGTTGGAGTTTATTTTAATGGTTAGAGGTTCCTGTTTTTTGAAGATTGATAAAATGCATCCATTGTCTTAATGTTGGCAAGAAAATGGTAAACAAAATATTTATTGTATGTTCCTAGCAAAGGTAGACATTGCATGAAGAACTTTAGGGAAACATTAAAAGCTTAATTTCAACTTTTATTAAGGCTATAAATACATGTATATATGTGGAAAATTATCCTACTCATATCTTATACACATTCACCCCCAATCACACAAAAAAAAAAAAAATTAAATAGAAAACCCACTGTTACATTTTTTTGAAACATGTAACATTTGTTATTGACTATAACATTTTGTTCCATTTTAATCTTTAGCTACTTTTGATTTGAGTTTAGCACTTCACAAGCTATTTTTGTGTTTATTAGGAGGAGCTGAAGATCCTGAGATTAAGATACTCTCTACTAGTGGAGGAAGAATTGGGGACGAGAGAGTCAGAGCTGAATCGTCTGATGGAACACAAGAAACATCTCAAGGTTTGTTACTTTTATTTTATCCTATAAATGAGCCGCGTCACGACAAAACCAACATAATGGGTTTGCAACCAGCATGAATCCAGACCAGCCTGCGCATTCGCGCAGTCTGATCAGGATCCATGCTGTTCGCTTACAGACCCTATAACAAGAAGAGAAACTGACAGCAAACAGCATGGATCCTGATCAGACTGCGCGAAAGTGCAGGCTGGTCTGGATCCATGCTGGTTGCAAACCAATTATGTTGGTTTTGTCGTGACGCGGCTCATCATAGAGTATTTCCTTCAGAGACACATAAGTATATTCACTATTAGATTGGAAGCATTGTTGCCAATCAGTGATCATTTTAAAACCTTATAATTACATTTATATAAACACTTTTTAACAGCACAATTTTTTTTTTAGAATTTATATTTGATTAATTTTAAGAATGTAATTAACCAGTACATTTCCTTTACCAGAGTCTGGCATCTCAAGCTGTAATAGACACACGTAAGAATGTGGATAACTATCGTGAACAGTATGATATCCTGTTGGCTGAAGATAAGGTAATGGACAAGGCATTTAAACGAGAGTTTAACGATGTGTCCGCAGTCCAACAAGATCAACTTTACAGATTGTTCAAGAGAAGACCAAGGTAATTGTAATGTTACTTGTATTATGTTTGTAAAGCTGGTGGTAAGAGGCATAATAAATGTTTTTGTTTCTATTATCTTTAATAGAAAGACTATGATAATGTTTATAAAATCCATAGAGGAGAGATAGCCTAGTGGTTATTGTGCTTGCCTCACAATCTAGGATTATGGTGCTTGCCTCACAATCAACCATTTCAGGGGTCATGACCATGTTTCCTTGTCTAACACCAGTACTGGCTAGTTCTAGGAAGTTAATTCTATAAATTCTACAATATTCAGTGATTTCAATGATTGCTGGCTTTTTTAGAAAGCATTGTGTCCTTTTAACAGAGTGCTAAAGAGAGTTGCTGTTTTTTTTACAGGAAGACAGTTGTTTTTTTTTTTACAGGAAAATGTGCAGATCATTTATAGTTGAACAATATTATTGATATCAAGCATAGTTTAGTTGATGATTTGCATGCTAACATTGTATAGAAACAATTTTTACATTGATATCGAATATTAAACCAAATTAGATTGATATTACCTATATATATATATTACAACATACATATCCAATATTCACACATGATATAAAATCTTGTAGGCGTATGATGTTGGAGAGATTCCATGGATTATCGGCATTTTCCGTTTTTGATTTACGTACTAATCCATTTTTAAGGTACAACTATTGTCTACATGTTGTCCACACAGACACTGTGCATTTTTACATTATGATTTATTCTTTTAATGAGAATAAGAAAGGCATGACTACAGTTTCTTTTGCACAGTATTTGTTGTTATGAAAAATTATTTGAGATTGACATTATATAGATTATTTACCTTGAAAATTTATCACAAGCTTTACATACAAGTTACAATACAGGTTTGAATTGAATAAAGTGATTGTATTTTTAACTAGTCCAAAAAAAATTTATATGAACTTCAACAGTTTTGTATATCAAATACTTTGTTGATTTATTTACAATAAAATGTAATCTAATGCAACTTAACATTTTGTTGAACTTTTTTATACAAATTGATATTTCCTTTAATGATTTTAATTGATGCAATGTAGTATAAATAGCACAGACAGAAAACTGTGCTTTCCTTTCTGTTGGTATATTTTTTAGCATTACTTAGGTTACTAACCTTTAGGACTTGAAGACTAGCTAATTAATCATAGATGAAAAAAAAATTATATAAAGGTATAATAATTATATAAAGGTATAATAATTCTAAAAGTCTTCTTTTTTTTTGTTCATACAAGTTTATGACTAAGAAATATTCATAATTATGTTGGTAATAACTTTATATGTACATGATTTGACTGAGTTAAGACTGTATTTATTTAGGCATCAGATTCTAGCCAAACTGTCGGCAACGTCAATGTATTCATTTTTTCATCCAAAAGAAAGGGACAGGTATAAACATTGTACTTAGTGTATGTGTCTATTTCAGCTTTTATTATACAATATTTATGTTTTATCATAACAAACAAACTGTTAGAGCACTTTATTTGATGTAAAAATCAAAGCCTCTTGTTTTGTGTCTTTTTTTATCAAAATTAAATATTTCCGAATGTAGGTTTAAAGTTTGATAGCTTTTGGTGTTTTTTGGTTGTTTTTTTTTACCAAAAATTGATGCTACATGTGTATGAAATGAGTTATAAGTTAAGAAAGCTTGCAGGTCTTTACATTTACATGCATTTTTTATAGTAATTGATAGCTTTTTTGATGATTTTTTTCTCAGATGTAATTTTTACCATGGAATTTTATGAGTGACAAAAATATCATTTATATATAAACTATGTTTTCTTCTGAAGGACATATATGTGAATAGATTGTATTGTAATGTAATTCAGTATTACTAATGCTTTACTATGCAAAGACATGCTTTATGTGACATTATTCATATTGTTTCTGTCAGTAATGTGATATTTTTTTAAAAATCCTGGAAACTTTATTCTCTTCATCAACAATAACAACTAAATAAATAGAACAGAAGAAAAAAGGTATTTTTAAATTTTGGAAAAGAGCTAGACATTTTATTGAAGCATAATAATCATTATAAGTGACTTGGATGTTTTTCAAACTTATTCTGTATATAAACAATAAATCTAAATACTGGTAAATACAAGATAATTTTATCGCTCAAGAAAAAAACCATTGTTAGATTTTGGAAATTAGGACATTTTTGTGAAACTTTATGTAAAAATTTTTCAATGATAAAATTATTTGCAATATAAAGAGTATTTTTTAAAAGATATTCTGTCTTAAAAGAAATCCTAGTTTTTATTTTAACTTTTTATACATGTATTCTTTTCTTTCTTATTTATTTATTTATATTTTTTTTTGCAGCATTAGTTTTGAGGAAACAAAAGGGAAACATTTGCAGTAAGATAGTTAAAATATGTAGAAGACCTACAGATTAAAATAAGGTTATTTAGTATGTTAACATAAACATAATTGGCAAAACATTGCTTACTTTTTCAGAGCTCTGAAAATTACACGAGCAGAAGGAGATGCTATATCACTGCCCAACCCATTTGCTGACCGTCCGTCCACGGCCAGACAGAATGCCCAATCTAAAGCTTACATGGACACTGCGATGGAGGATCTTGACAAACCAGTCAACTGTCCCGAGGGTGTGGAGCCACATGTCTGGGAGAGACTATGCATGTACAGACGTCAGAAAGTTGAAAATGAGAACTTGGTAACATAACTTTCTATAGTTTAACAAATTTAAATCCTATAGAATTGTATAAAATCCCATAATTTAAACATTAATATGTTCTTAAGAAAAACAATAATATGAATAGTTTCCATAAAATGCATAATTGGTGTAACATGCAAATAATGGCAGTGACAATACTTTCAATTAACATATTGCCAGGAGATGAAATTTAAAACTTCAGAAGATTGTCAGAAAGAGCGAAATTACATAATATAATTTGATGAAAAAAGGTGAAAAATTGGTTACCACAATTTCAATTAAGATTGGTTACCACAATGGTAGTTAAGATATTTGGTTACCTGATTTGTAGTTAAGATATTTGGTTACCACAATGGCAGTTAAGATATTCTGCTACGGCAATGGCAGTTAAGATATTTTGCTACCGCAATGGCAGTTAAGATATATTTATTTATTTTAATAGTTGAAGTTACGAGCCCATACATTGGCAGAAATGCAACAATTTCAACAGAAACGACAAGAAGAAGATGATCAGCTTAAAACTGACATTGATAGTATATCGGAGCAGTTAAATAAGTAAGTTATACGTACATGTTATAGCTTAAATTCCTTTCACTTTACATTAAATTTGATAGTCGTGCAGCTGAAACACTTATGGGGCTATTGGTAGATGTCTAAGAATTATAGTCAGCCATTATGACATTGAATGCTTTTTGTCCATGAAAATGTTTGATTGGATGTCTTATTTCAAGCATAATTTTTGAGCTGAAGAAGTCAGTATTGTACTAAAAGCTTTTGATTTTTACATTACTTCATGCATATACAACAGGACTAAGTTTTTGTATAATTTAATTCTACAATTATTGTATCTTATCGACATGGGTGTTTTAAACATACTATAAAATTAATTGAAATAACTGATCTTAGTCTTACTAGTAAGGCATTACATAAAAAGTCTAATATATGAGAGATACTGTCATTAAACTGTATAGAAAACATTTGTGCTGCGTCTCAACAAAACCAACATAGTGCGTTGTGACCAGCATAGATCCAGACCAGCCTGCGCATCCGTGCAGTCTGATCAGGATCCATGCTATTCGCTTATAGCTTCTCTACTTGTAAGAGGGTTGGTAAGCGAACAGCATGGATCCTGATCAGACTGCGTGGATGCGCAGGCTGGTCTGGATCCTTGCCGGTCGCAAACGTACTATGTTGGTTTTGTCACGACGTCGCTCATTTGCTTTTGATTGTTTCCATACCAATATCCAAAAAGTTATATACTGTAGTTGTCACTTAAGTCTTTACAACTAATAATTATGTTCATACATATTTGTATAAAGGTAACATTTAGAAATGCTATATTTCAGACTGCGAGAGGATAGGGCACGTTTTAACTTGAACCTTGAAGTACAGTTATTGTTGAAGCAAGGTCAGGTTGAGGTAGATGCAGGATCATTTATACATGACTATAAAGACAGTGCTCTCATTCATAGAAATGTTGTTGAAGACCTGAATGGCACAATCAAGGTATGTTATATCTAAACAAAACAAAAGTCAAAGTCAAATATTTTATTGGCAAAAACAAATACATGTTCATCGCCAAAAACAAAAAAAAACAAAAAAAATTTTGATATTATAATTAGGAGTTCAAGAATTGTATAAAAGGACAGTATGTATAATAAAAATTTCACAATTTTAAAGGCACATTATGCCACAGAAATCGATAGACTTTTAAGTCTTTAGAAAGGGCAAACATGTGTTTAATAATTTTTTAATAATGGACTTAGAGCAAGTTAGATATTAAACAACTTACGATAGTAGCGCTGAATTTGCAATAATGTGTCATTAAGGTTGAAAATGTAAATAAAGTAGTATTTTGACTTCCATACAAAATACTAAATCACTATAATTATACTTATTACTAAGGAACAAGAGGAGTAAAAGATAATTCATCTATATGGTCAAGGAGTCAATTTTTGGAAACTGTTATAAGATACTAAAAATAGAATGTTTTTTAGAAATAAAGTTGATTTTGAGAGTTTAATAGGCCTTTAAAATAATAAATTTCTAGAGTAGATACATGTAGTACCACTAATTGACAGTAATTAATAAAACAATCACAAATAATATGTTAATATTTCAGCAACTTGGCGAGAGTAAAATAGCAAGCATGGTAGAAAGTAAAGACTTCAGAAAGGGCATTATCCAGTTAGAATGGTAAGTACAAACTTTTAGATTTATCTGCAGATACGACTCTGTTAATTGCCATTTTCAAAATTAATTTTTTATTATTGTACTAGTTGTTTTAGAGTAGATGTTGAATTTTCTTCACCAGAATTTTAATCATCGTAATGGCTGTGCGATGCATTTTTTTCCAAAATTTATTTTTTATTATTGTACTAGTTATTTTAAAGTAGGTGTTGAATTTTCTTCACCAGAATTTTAATCATCGTAATGGCTTGGCAATGCATTTTTTTCTAAATTTACTAATTTTTTCTCATCCATTGATAATGAACTATTTTCAGCCTCGGTCACCTTCTAATCTGTCAGTCCTCAAAGTTAGACAATGCAGTTTTAAGGAATGTATAATTTTATAATATATCTACAATTATCATTGTTTCAGGGAGCATAAGAAAATGTTGATGGTGATTGAAGATTTACAAAACAAAATGAAAGATGTACAATTTATGAAAGTCACTCGTGAAATACAATTGGTAAGTTTATATCATTTGTGAGCCAAAGTGTTGAAATTTTTGTCATAAATTTCTTAAATTAGATTCTGATGAAGAATTGATAGAAATTGTACAGTTTATCTATGATTTACACAATAACATACTTTAGTACATTATTTCAAAGCTGTTAAAAATACATGTTTATGTTAAATGTATATTTTAGAGCTCTAAGAAATGAAAAGATACTAATGAATGATATCGTTTTACAGTTCCTGAACTCACCAGATTACGAAGGCAGGAAGTCGGAGGAAGTTGGAAAATTAGAACTTACAATTTTACAACAGAAAAAAGTAAGTATTTCATGTTCTTTGATACTTTTTTCTCTTTTATTTCTCAGCCCCTTACAGTTTAGTTGAATTTTTCATTTGAGCATAATTTCAGTCTTGTAACAACCAGTGTTTAGCCATCTCTTACATAGCAAGATAAAATTTTTTTAAACAAAATGTTGCTTAAATGTTTTACTAGTGCTATTGACTCTGACAAAATAGAAATACAGAACCATAAACTGCTAAATACAATAATGCGTTACTTGGTTCTGTTGAGCAGAACTTAACCAAAAAGTCTCTACTTTAGAATATATATTAAAATGATTTTGCTCAAATAAACATCACATGTTGGAGTCATTCGGAGTTTCTTCGTGGTATAGCACGATTATTTAAACTCGCAGACTGCCTCGTGAGTTATCTTTAAAACACAGTATATATTTCGTCCTAAAGTTCATAACATTAAATTTCTCGTAACCTTGTAATAAGCTAAATCTTGCCCTTAGGTGTTTACCTCTTGATTGTACTCAAATGTAGTAGCAAAATTATTGCGGTATATAAAGGTCACAAAGGGAATGCTTGTAATACATATCTTGAATAAACAATAATTTATAATACTTGTTAATAAATTTCTACCTTTTGTTTTTCTAAATCAAAGATTCACGAGAAGGACTTTAGATGAGAGAAAAGAAAACGCAATATAAAAAGACATTTGAAAACGGGGGGAACAAGTAAAGATGAAGGAGAATGATAATGAACAGTTGTTAAAGGAGCTGGAAGATCTTAATGTATCAGTACATGAGAGGAAACATATAGAACAAGTCAATGGTAAGAAATTTTTGAAATCTTACCCTCTTATTTTAAAAAACCTTAACCTACTGAATTTTGTAAGACTTGTCCAGTTTTCATTTTTGGAACTGTCCATTATCAAATTTAGATATTACGATGAAAATTTAAAGTTAGTCAGCCAACAATTTACAGCTTTTAGATTTAAGTTTATTTTACTACATTGTATGTACATGTATTTTGTGTCATGAAATTTTTTAGCTCTTAGTTTATCTTTGATTTACACTATTTTTACTTTACACCTCCAACAGCTGACCGTCGTGCTAACGCTGGAGCAGAGAAACGATACCAGGAGATTGTTCAGAGACGGAAACTTGTGGATTTGGCTAAAGCCCAGGCACAGGAAGTGGCAGTATTGCGCGCTGAAGTTGAACGTCTTCGTATGAGAACTTTCCCAGCTCTGGTACAAGTGGAACATTAGTGAAACAGACTAGATAATTTATCTGTGTAAACATTTAATGTGATAAATATAAAATTATTGTGATAAATATGAACAGTTTATTTATTGTAGTAAAAGAATTTACTTTTTTTGTTTGTTGAAAACTGATTTAAAGGAAATAAAAAGTGTCACTTTATAAACGTTGTCTATATAATATTGTAGCAAATATTTTTTTTTTAAAAATTCATATGGTAAAGTTATAATATGATTTTAGCCAGTGAGCTTTTGTTATGATAATTGAAAGTTGTTTCTCAAAAATGCAGTGTACTAGCAAAATTCAAATGTTTTGTATTATGCATGTCATGAAAGTTTGGTGAATTCAAAATTGACCATTGATTATTAGTTTAAAAAATTAATGTAATGTGTGATCAGTCAGTATATATCACGCCTGACAGCTTTATGTTAAAATGGTTGTTATGTGTCTGTATTTCAACAAGAAAGATGTGTTAAAATGTGTAAAAACCCTAAAAAGCTAGCATTTTTGTCTGTCTGTTATTAATTATAAAACATCTAATCATGAGCTTGTGCACAAGATTTTTATGTCACTTAAATTATTATGTAATAAAGTTGATCAAATGTAAAATTATAATAATTATGTATTGCATATCTAAGCTTTTTTTGTTAAATATTCTTTTCATAGCTGTTATCCCTTTATTGTGTAAATATCTATTAATATTTCCATTAGAAATTTACCCTCTAAAAAGTGAATTGATCTTTTACAGTATAATGTACTGGTACATTTATTTTGAATTTCATCTTGACTGAAACAAAATCATTGGATACCAACCTATATAGAAATGTGTAAATTATAAAGGAATGTGAAAATCATAAAGAAATGTGAAAATTATAAAGAAATGTGAAAGTTAAATAGAAATGTGAAAGTTAAATAGAAATGTAAAGGTTACAAAGAAATGTGAAAGTTACTAAAATTAAGATTTTGTCAAGGTTTAAACAAAATTTATTATGCATATAAAATGAGTAAGAAAACTGACTATAAATATTTATATTGTGAAAATGTTCCATCTTTTGTAAAATTAAAACATTTATGTACAATCTATTTTGTTATGACAAATATTATTTGTTTCAAAATGAGAACATGTATCTTTTATTTTTTTAGTTAATATCAGATTTTATCAAATTCACATATTTCTGACAGAAAACGTGTTATTATTGAAATAAAAATGAAAAATCATGAATACAGAATTTGTGTTGTTTTGTCTTTCATGCAGTGATGCTGAAATAATACGTATAGTAACTGACTTATGATATAGAATAGAGAAAAGCAGAATCCCTGTAGAAAGCCCAGCATGGCAAAATTGAAAATGTTGAAGTCATATCATTTTTTTAATCGGAAAGATATTAAGGTTTTGCACAGGGTCAAATAAAGCAAAGCATTGAATATTCTTTTTATCAGAGAGAACTATAGAAGCATTTAGCTTCTATTTATAGCTTGAGATGATTTGTATCATCTGACTGGAGCATGGATGATAGAATGCATGTACCACTGACATTCATGAATAGGCACCAGTACACGGGGCCTGCAACATTTTCAATCATACAATGTTGAGTGAAACCTTTATATATAAGTTTTCTTTCTTGCCATCTCAGTAAATTAAAATGCATGTCCATAGTGTTGAATGAAAAACAGCTACTTACAACTTTCTCTTCACATATCTTTACAATATATTTTATTACCCCCCGCCGAAAAGGCGGCGGGGGATATAAAAATAGTCTCCGTCCGTCCGACCTTCCGTCCGTCCGACATTTTTGTCCGGAGCATATCTCTAAAAGTATTTGAGTTATCAACTTGAAACTTCATAGGTGGATAGACCTCATTGAGGAGGAGTGCAGTGCACAAGAATGATAACTCTACCCTGCATAATTTTTGAGTTATTGCCCTTTGTTATTTTTCAGAATTAATTTTTGTCCAGAGCATAACTCCAAAAGTCTATGAGATATCAACATGAAACTTCATAGGTGCATAGATCTCACTCAGGAAATGTGCAGTGCACAAGAATGATAACTCTACCTTTCATAATTTTTGAGTTATTGCCCTTTGTTATTGTTCAAAATTAATTTTTCACCTGAGTGGAGCAAAATTCAAAAAGTGTTTGAGATATCAACATGAAATGTCATAGGTGGATAGATCTTATTGAAGAGGAATGTGGTGCGCAAGAATGATAACTCTTCCCTATACAATTTTTGAGTTATTGCCCTTTGTTCTTTTTCATGCTATTTTGTCCAGAGCTTATCTCAAAAAGTGTTTGAGGTATCAACTTGAAACTTCATAGGTGGATGGATCTCATTGAGGAGGAGTGCAGTGCACAAGAATGATAACTCTACCCTGCATAATTTTTGAGTTATTGCCCTTTGTTATTTTTCAAAATTAATTTTTGTCCAGAGCATAACTCAAAAAGCCTTTGAGATATCAAAATGAAACTTCATAGGTGCATAGATCTCACTCGGGAGGTGTGCAGTGCACAAGAATGATAACTCTACCTTTCATAATTTTAGAGTTATTGCCCTTTGTTATTTTTCATACCTAATTTTTCACCCGAGTGGAGCATAACTCAAAAGTGTTTGAGATGTCAACATAAAATGTCATAGGTGGATAGATTTTATTGAGGAGGAATGCTGTGCACAAGAATGATAACTCTTCCCTGTACAATTTTTGAGTTATTGCCCTTTGTTCTTTTTCATACTATTTTGTCCGGAGCTTACCTCAAAAAGTATTTGAGGTATCAACTTGAAACTTCATAGGTGGATGGATCTCATTGAGAAAGAGTGCAGTGCACAAGAATGATAACTCTACCCTGCATAATTGTTTAGTTATTGCCCTTTTTTTATTTTTCAAAATTAATTTTTGTCCAGAGCATAACTCAAAAGGCCTTTGAGATATCATTATGAAACTTCATAGGTGCATAGATCTAACTCAGGAGGTGTGCAGTGCACAAGAATGATAACTCAACCTTTTATAATTTTTGAGTTATTGCCCTTTGTTTTTTTTTCATACTTAATTTTTCAATTCATTTTTTTTTTCTCAAAAAGTATTTGAGGTATCAACTTGAAACTTCATAGGTGGATAGATTTTACTGAGGAGGGATGCAGCACACAAGAATGATAACCTACCCTGCATTATTTTTCAGTTATTGCCCTTTGTTATTTTCAGCCATCAGTATTCACATAGGTTTCAAAACTGTAATCACTATAGCCATCAGTTTTCAAAAGACCTCTTAAAATGGAATTATTCTGCTCTACTACATATACATTCTTCCAATGAGCAAACACATTCAGCGGGGGATGGCCATGTTGACATGGCTCTTGTTATTATATTTTTTTTACAGTTCATATCAACAAAACCAACCAATATTATAACACAAAAGAAGGGGATTAAACTTTTCAAACCTGTTGTTGAAATGTAGTCATTATAATTTTAACAAATTTTGTAACATAGTGCTAACATTATTCATAGGTATAACAACAAACACACTAGAGATTTATAAAAAATTCACTTAAAATGACTTCATATGAGATCCTTATGAATTTTTGTACAACATTATAATGAAAGTGGCCTTTTAAAGTCAGTGTAATATATTTTATTATCTATTGTTCTTTGATGAGAAAAATATCGGTGAGATATAATTTGTATCACATTGTTTGAAACAGATTGAGAAATAGAATATTAGTCCTTGTTCCTATTATATAAGCATACTATAGCAGATAAAGATTTTCATGTTGTCATGGATAACAGTTAACCACACATCTTGGCAACATTTGGTGCAAACCTTGGTAAAATCTTACTAGTTTAATGAACAAAATATGCTTAAACTTGTTGTCAGAAAAAGTGAAACTTTGTTTATTTTTTGGTGAATATGGACTGTAATAACTTACTTCAAGTACTTCACAATTTTGAAGATTCTCTCTTCTTTATAGTGAAATCTTGGATTATAGTATGAAGAGGAATAGCAACTTCTGAAAAGAGTATATCTTACTTATCTGTCATATGTTGGCCAATTAATAGCAGCATTAAAAAGACATTGTTTCATCAATGTGTGTCATTTTATAGAAAATTTATATGAAAATAATTGAGTCCTTTTTATGCTTACAATAAAAATAATTCAAAATGGATCTCATTCAAATAAATCACATGATACACTAAAATGAACTTTGATGATATATTTCCATATTTGACTAAATATTTGAAGTATTTTTTGTTAAACATAAAACTCTTTTAATTATTGATATTGACAGAGGCTTTTTATTATTACGTCTGTTACCTGGCTTATATAGTTTAGAACATGTATGTTTTGTTTTGGGCTGGTGGCCTATGAAGCAATAAAGATATTGTATTGTATAAAGTTGCTATATTTAACTGACAAATACGAGCATTATATTTAGCATTATAAATTCTTGTATATCAATATTGTAAAATTTGATAGAAAACAGTAAACGCTGTTCTTTCACCTAATGACATAGAACATTATCAAGATAGCATAACCAGTGTACGCACTATGCACATTTGTTATATGGGTTATCTCCCATTTACCGGTACGAATTTATAATATTGACAGGGAATAGTGATAAGTGCAGACCATGGTCAAACGACACTGGATCAGTTGTTATCAGCAATAAAAATTTAGAATAAATTAAATCTTTTCTTAATACAAGCCACATGCCAAGTTATTGTTTTGGAATTTCTGCTAGCTAGAATTATGTCAAAGTTATCTAATTTCTCAAATTTGTCTTTAAAATGGTCGGCTTTAATTATTTATTTTTGAGTTAAGTTTACATATGACTTAATATGCTTCGATATGCCTTGAAAAAAAAAATAATAAAAAAAAGAAAAATATTAAGAGGATATTTTTTCGTTTGCGTGAAATATGGAATATATTTTCACGAAACATGATAAAATGCCACATATTTTCACGAGCCGGTACGGCGAGTGAAAATATGTGGCATTTTATCATGTTGAGTGAAAATATATACCATATTTCACAAAAAACGAAAAAATAACCTTTTTATTTAAATTTCATTATCAACGAATCCCCTTGCTTGCTACCAACTGCAATTGTACAGCGCACAGTAATTTATGCGTGAGCACGCGCTGTTTGGCGCTACATTGTGACGTCATGTAAACAACTCTCTAAACGTCTGTACAGCGTTAATTACTGAATTAAAGATATTGGTGTTCGGAATAATTTTCTTAGTTAGGCCATTTTCTATCAGGCTAGATAGTTTTCAAAACAATATTCAAGAAAAAGTTGTTTTGTATTTATCATATTTTTCAATCAAAACGGCGAAAGAAGTCCCTTAAAATAAATATGAGTTTTGACTCCGCCCACTTTCATATTTATATTTCATATTTATTTTTAAAAAATATGAAATATATTTGACTGATATAGCACCATATTTCATGGGTAAAATTAAATAAACACTGAGAAACCCTACAAACTGTTCTACAAATCCTGTTATTTATTTAATCTCATGTCAAAAATGCAAATTTATGCAATATGTTGGCCAGACATCTCAACCGGTTTCACGTAGAATGAATAGTCATAAATTTGATATTACAAATTTCAAAGATCCAGCGTTTTCAACTCTTGTTGCGACGCATTTTAATTCAATTGATCATTCATTTAATGACTTTTCATTTTTACCGTTTGAGATTGTCAGCGACACAATACAAGGGGCAGGACGTGAAGTGGTTGCACACTTGGTTCAAGCGAGCGAATTGGTTGCAAACTTGACAAAATGGCAAACACGACGTGATTTTTTGAAACGGGTGAACGAATTTTTGCCAGGCAAGTGGGTTTCTTAGTTATTTTGAAGTTCATTAGTATGTCTATTCCATAATGCAATATATATACCACACTCGGTTTAAGGTTTCAGCATCCTAGATTCTGTTTTGACGAAGTTATTGAAGATATAAACTGATCATGTAGATATTTTGAAATTTGACTTGTGACTGTTCTGGTCGGTTTTTCTCCTAATTTATTCGAATTTGTAAGTTTTGAACTGCATTTAACAATAACAAAATATGTTTCTGTCAATGCTGTACAAATGGTTCAGTTCGCAAGGATGAAGATAACGTTCAATACACAAAAATATCTTGTTCAAGCACATTTTGGTTGCAGACTTATAATTCAAGCATTTTTGGTTGCAAACTTATTCTTATTCTATTGAAATCCATAGTAAAACTTTGC